AAACCAGCTGCCCCCGACGGGGCGCATTTTTTTCCCAACATTGGGTTGCATGGTTTCAGGGAAAAAAACGTAAGAAATACGCTTTGGAACTGGTTTGTTTTCGCCGGAAAATATTAATTTTCCTTGAAATTGCTGAACTTGACCAACCTGAAGTGGCTTGGTTGGGGATTTGGGAGGGTCCTCGCCAGTATACCCGGTGATGGTGTGTCTGTCGAAAAACACCCCGCCCCATTCGAAGCGACGCAACTTCAACATTGCCAGGTACTTGCAAATTTTGGATTGATACGCCGCAGAAAGAGATGTGTTCCAAACACCGTTTGTCTTACCATTGTTTTTTTTGATGTCGAATTTGTGGCACACGTGGCCACAGCCGGCCTGCAGTGGCCCCTGACAAAACCCGTTGCTGTCAAATGAAATCCATCCAGAACCCTAGGAACCTGGTCCACTTCGGGGATCCCACCATGCCATAGTGGCAAGGCCCAAATCGCCGCGACAGGCAACCTGCTATCCAAAGCAACCTCCTTCGACAAGAGTGAGCACGGCCGTGTTTCCGTACGTTTCTGGCTCGGCATTGGCATGATAAGACATATCTGTGCCATTTGGCGTTTGGGATACCAGTGCTATATCTCTCTTGAATCCTGGTGTCGCTTTACTCTTTTCAATTGCATTTGCTTTTGGGGCCTTTGCCTTTGCCGATGTGGTTTTGTTCTGGTAAAAAACCCGTCCACGACAATTACTCGGAATTTCTTGTGTAAACAGTGCCAAGGGGGTAAATTGTTCTTTCAACTGTGAATTCGTCGTCGCTTCTCTAGGTTCCGACAAAGTAGCATCCGTTTTGAAACTGTTTTGGTTTCCCTTTGTGGCCGCGTTTTACTGGGCCAAAAAATATGGGGAACCTGACACTAACAGGCAACCATTTTTTGACCTCACCTGAAACGTTCAACATCGGTAGACGATCACACATGCACCAATTGAAATGCAGTATGACGACTGTCTGCTGCATCTGCCTCTGGTTTCCCACATTCGGACATGTGCATGTTTAAACCTAACATCTAATCGTTGGACAAAGGCCCTGGGGCTTTGGAGGCTCTACGTCGCTTGATGATGACTCTCCCGCGGGTTCACTCTTGTCATTGGCCTCATCATGTCGCTCTTCGCATTAGATTTTCTTTTGCAATGCGCACATTCAAATCCATAATTTCTACCGTGTTTCCGCACTTGTATGACTGAACTGGGTGTGTTATCCGTTTCATCTGGAGATGGTGACATGATAATACCAGGGTTGCTGGCCGCATTCTCACTAGTGATCTGTGCTGGAACACCTTCAGCTCGGAGTCTTCTTCAGGGATTTTTTTCGCCAGGCGCCACCTCATCCGAACCTTTTGCCACCGGAAAACAACGGTAATTTTTTTCACTGACAGGATGCGAGGGTTTTGCGTAGTGTAGTATTTGGCCATAGTTTTTTCACGAAATTGCTTGGACCCTTCCAGCAACGCATCCTCATTGTAACGACCTGCCACCTCAAATTTCCACTTTTTTAAGCGTAGAAAAAGTGGAATTTTCCACTTTTTAAGGGTGTCACTTCCACAAAACTCTCAGAAAACTTCTACAAAGAAATTTAGGACAAAATTCGGAAAAATTTAGTGGAAACATTTACTTTCGAAACGGTGCCCACGATAATTTTTGCTTTGCGCCCGTTCGAGTTCGCAACTACGATCCTTGCAGGACATGGGCAAGCCACATCGATTCAATGTGGAAAAATTTGCTCAAGCCTCCTCACACAAAAACTGTACAAAGAGATCGCTTTGTAAAGGCCACTCTGGTTGCGCGGCTGCTTCGAGCCAACTTTTGTAGTGAGGAAACTGGCGCCGGCAAAAGTTATTTAAATGATCATCCCACCGTTTGAGTGGACGCCCTACTCGCCGTACTGGTTGTTCTCCAAAATTTTTCCTCCAGTTATCCAAGGGGGACCACTGTATCACATTTTTTGGCCAGCCTGGTGTTCGAGAGATCCTCATTGCAAAAGAGAACAATTTTTTTGCAAACCTCCTTTTCCAGTTGATGATTGGATGGTATTGTAAAGCTGCTTGCGCCCGTGCGTTCATACGAAGCATTGTATCTTTCCAGGGTTCGTCTGGCACACGCACCCATCCAACGACAGACCGTAGCATCCGGCGTTGCACGATATCCAGTTGATTTAAATCAGCTGCCGTCAGCGGCATTGTAACGAGCCCAAAAAGAATTGTAGGGGTGACAACCGCATCAAATAGTCGCAAACGCAACTTTACCGAAATATGCTTGTTCATCAATACAAATCGATAGTGATTGAACTTGGCCCAGGCCAAATGCACACGGTGTTGAAACCCAATTTGGCGTCGTTTGGTCAGATCACCTGTATATTTTCTGCCAAGGTATTTGTGTACGCAAGTGTCCTTCAGAACTTCCACGGGTTCGTCCTTGATAAGAACCACGTCTGGAACATTGACCTCATGCGTAGTGAAAATTTTGGTTTTGGAAAAGTTTAGTTGCAATCCAACTTTGCCAAGTTCTTCCCAAAGTATTTCGAGCATGTAAACCAGATCACCTTTGTTTTTTGCAAAAAGTAAAATATCATCAGCGTACCGAATATTGGTCAACCGTTCTGGAAGTCCAACGTCGCCGCCATGATCCGTAAGGCGCTGTTTCCATGAAACCATCACATCCTCCTGGCCGGCATTGAATAAAGCTGGGCTGAGAACGTCACCCTGCTTAACGCCTCTGTTGATTGGAAAAGAGTCACTTCCGTCTACAAAACCAGATTGCGAGTCATAAAGGACACCGAGGAGTCGGATATATTCTTGAGGAAAGCCTTGTCGCTGGAGTGCTGCAAACAAAGAATTTGAGTAAATTCGATCAAATGCCTTTCGTAAATCCAAACTTGCCATCCAAAACCCAAGTCCGAATTCCACAGATTTTTCAACCATGGACTCAAAAGTAATCAGGGCATGTTCGACGCCCAAGCCAGGCCTGAAACCAAATTGATCATAACATTGGGTGCTTTCAAACTGTTCCTTCAAACGATTATGTAAAAGTTTCGTGAAAATTTTGTATGCAATTAGTAATTTGTAGAATGGCAATAGGCCTCCAATTGTTGGGAGCTGCCAAGTCACCCGTCTTGGGAATCATCATGAACAATGTATTGCGCCAATCTGTTTCAGCTGTCCCGGTCGTTAAAATTGTATTGAACAAGCCGATCAACGTATTCCAGAGTACCGGGCCTCCGTGCTTGAACATTTCCACAACAAGGCCTTGCGAATCAGGGGAGAACTGCTCCTGCATGGTCGGAATGGGTCAAAATGAGCGATCTCCATGTCCCCGAGCTGGCGGAAGTCTTTCAAAATGTTTGCGATGCGGTGGTTCCGTTTTTCCCGCATCCGTGCTCGCAAAATTTTGCGGATGCGTTTGGACAGTTGCGTTCGTTGGACTGCGTCGTGGCAAGCCCGTCTTTGGGACAACAAATTTTGGAACTCGGCATCCTTCCAAGGTTCTTGGGATGAGGAGCCGGCTCCATCACCTCCATGTCCGACAGACTCGGCAACTTTCAACATAACATGTCCCAACTCATGGATCGATTCAGGAGCTTTGTGAAGAAGTTGTTCAGAGAGCTGGGCCTGGTATGAATTCAGGCACTTTGGTTGCCATCTACTGGTGCGTCTGCGTTTCTTCTTCCTTGTGTGCGTAATCATTTCCAAAGCAGCATGCACCGCACGATGATCGGAGTTCAAATCCAAAATGTCTGTGGCACAGCTGCTTGACAATGAGAACGATGATGAGTACAAAATGAAATCGATTCGTCTTCTGACCCCCAGTGAGCTACGAAAAGTCTAATTTTCGATCAAATCATCATCATCATCATCATTGGCGACGTGTAAGCCAAAATTTGTACAAAAATGTTCCAAAACTTCGCCGCGGTGACCAACATGGAGTTGAGTATTGAAATCACCCCCCACCACGACTTGCGCGCCAACACGGGCAGCACCATCAAGAATGAGATGCAGTTGGTCATACACAGTTTGAAATTCGTGGTGTGGATACCCCATGTGCGGCATGTACACTGCAACAAAGCGAACAAGACCAGTCAACACCTTCAAATCAAGGTACATCAGTCGCTCAGAAACAACTTGCACAGAAATCACAGCATCAACGTGCCTTTTGTGGCATAAAATCGCCACGCCACATTTGTTGGCTGCGTGGAGGAATGCAGTTTGTCCCCTGAAGTCAATGTAACGGTTTCTCTGAAGCTCCTTGTCTCGCTGAACATCACAATGTCCCAGCTGCAATTGTGAAGTTCTCCCAGTACCTCGGCGATCTTCACATCTGAATTCAAGCGTGCATTTTTGGCAAATGTGTGGAAAATCGGTAAAGTTGCGTTTGCGACTATTTGATGCGGTTGTCACCCCTACAATTTTTTTTGGGTTCGTTACAATGCCGCTGACGGCAGCTGATTTAAATCAACTGGATATCGTGCAACGCCGGATGCTACGGTCTGTCGTTGGATAGGTGCGTGTGCAAAACGAATCCTGGAAAGACACAATGCTTCGTATGAACGCACGGGTGCAAGCAGCTTTACAATACCATCCAATCATCAACTGGAAAAGGAGGTTTGCAAAAAAAATGTTGTTTTTTGCAATGAGGATCTCTCAAACACCAGGCTGGCCAAAAAATGTGATACAGTGGTCCCCCTTGGATAAGTGGAGGAAAAATTTTGGAGAACAACCAGTACGGCGAGTAGGGCGTCCACTCAAACGGTGGGATGATCTTTTAAATAACTTTTGCCGGCGCCAGTTTCCTCACTACAAAAGTTGGCTCGAAGCAGCCGCGCAACCAGAGTGGCCTTTACAAAGCGATCTCTTTGTACAGTTTTTGCGTGAGGAGGCTTGAGAAAATTTTTCCACATCGAATCGATGTCGCTTGCCCATGTCCTGCAAGGACCGTAGTTGCGAACTCGAACGGCGCACTCCCTAGAAAGCAGTGTATGCCGCAGCACCTGCGTCCTTGCTTTTGCTCTTGCCCGTGCCTTTCCCTTGCTTCTTCAACACCTGGTTCGCTCTGTCCATAATCTGTTGTAGCTGAGCACTCGATTGAAACTCATCCCAAGCTGTCCATCCATGAGCCCATTCGACTTTCAGATCGCCTGGAACACTGGAAACTTGCACCACTGATTTGCCAGCAATGGCCATTTTGGTGTAGTGATCATCGATCTCAACCTCCCGCTTCACGAAACCCCACTCACCAAGCTGCCAGCGCAGACCCAACAGAAACATTTTCCTGGCACGAGTCGGGATCGGAAGATCCTGGGTTGCCCATATCTGTTGGTCATCATGTTTCAATTTTGCACTCCGAAGTGTTGCTACGGCTACATCCCTGGCGAACGAAGCTGGATACTTGGCAAACAGTATGCCGTTGAAAACTTGACCCTTCATGTATGTTTCGGATGGAGTGGCACATTCAGGGATTGCAATTTTTCTCGTAGCCACTGAGTTGCATTCTGCAAAATTTCACATCCTTGCAAGCCTCCGACCACCATGGTCTTCACCATATCGTTTTCACTGGAATGGGGTGTCCCTTTGATAGCATCGATTTGGGATTGGAGTGCTGCGAATTTGTCAGCAAAGTCTGACAGCGGAGTTGTGTCAGGAGGGTCTGCTGCCATCGACTCCTCCAAACGGGACAGGCGCACATCTTGATCAGCCATTGTGTTTTCAATCTTGCCCATGCGTTCCTCAAACGTAACACCCATGGAGGTCAATTGGTTTTCCAATGGACTGATGGCTGCGTGAAGTTCTTGGCGCATAATAATCGCAATTGCATCCAAAGACGGGCCAGCACCTTCTGAAGTGGACTTCGGGGTCCCCACTAGCTCATCATCGTCATGCGCCTCCTCACCGTCCATTTCGTGCAGGGGTGACCTGAGCCGTCTTTTCTGTATTGGTCGATCTGGAGTCATTCCAGCCATTGCGCAAAAACGAACAACGCTTGAACCACTTGAGCCAAAATGGTTACGGCGAATAAAAGTTGAAACGTTAAGATTTTATCGTCGAACGATAAAGAATAGTTTTCAAAAATGATCGAATTAGACTATGTTCTAAAAAACGAAAAAAGTAGGTCATATAAAAAATTGTCTAACCTAGTCCATTGGGTTGTCCAAAACCTTCCACGGAACGCGTGGAACCTGATTTGGATTTGCACCAAGGCTTCCTGGAACCTTTTCCGGAACTTTCTCCGGAACCCAAGCCTCCCAGAGATTCACCGGAACTTTCTCCGGAACCCTGTTGAACCTGACCTGGCTTTGCACCAAAACCTGCCAGACCTTCTCCAGAACCTTCTCCGGAACCTTCTCCAGAACTTGTTGAACCTGACTTGGCTTGCACCAAGGTTTCCTGGAACCTTCTCCGGAAACCTTCCCCGGAACCCTGTTGAACCTGACCTGGCTCTGCATCTCCGGAACCTTCCCCGGAACCTTGTTGAACCTGACCTGGCGCGTGCACCAGGGCACACCGGAGCTATCCCGGGCTGAAGATCCCATTAGCTTACGCTGTTGGGAAAATAGGATGTAATTTCGAGAGAGAAAATTTGTATGTTCGTTCGCCCGTCCGAGTCGCCTCAATCTTACCAGGATACGGGTGGGGTTCATGGGACATATGTTGCTGCAAAACCGTACGCGCATGTTCACGGAACGGCCATTGTGGCCGGACCCGTGTGGGCCACGACGCCCAGAAATTATGGATCGCAATTTTTTCCAAGTTACATTGCCTACATTTGGGTGCATGGGAAAAGTTTTGCTGCCACTCGCTGGTAAGATTCCACTAGCTGGTTGCCGCAGCCCAAGAATGCTTTTTGAATATTTGTGAGGACCATGGTTTGCACGCACAGATGGGCATTGCAAAAACTATTTTCTGTTTTTTCCGGGATATGGTATCGAACCAATTTTACCGTCAGGGCTCACCTAATCGACAAGAATCGAAACATTTTTCGCTGCACTACTCACCGCCAAGTTTGTCCGAGATTGGCGCCTAAAACCATATGGTGCTGACAATTTTTGCGTTGGATGAGAAGATCAAGGTTTGTTGCAAAAGAGTTTGCTCAGGAGAAGCGCTTGGACACGTTCAGTCCAGCAACAGGTGCTCACACAGCAAATATTTTACCACTGCAGCATCTATGGTTGAAAGACCGTACAAAGCAGAAGCAGGGGCAATGCGATTACAATGTGGTCATGGGTTGCCTGGATGTGATAGATGCGCTCCTGATGGCAGATCAGGATCAACCAATTCTTGTGCATCTACATGGCCAAGCGTTTGTGATTCGAAAGAATTTGCCAGGCCAGAGAATGGGTGCCAAGCAATGGTATCAGCACCTCAAAGATCACCTGGAAACAACTTTTGGATATACGTTTTGCAGTGAACAGCCGTGCCTTGCAAAGAGCAGTTTCTCTACGTTGCTTATACATGAGGATGACATCCTGTTTGTTGGAAAACAATCGTATTGGGAAGAAACGTTTTTGAAGGGGAGGAGTGAGAAGTTTTCAGTCAGCCATTCAAAGCTGGAAGGAGAAGGTAGCAGTATCACTTTCCCCCAAAGAAAGATCACAGACATGGGAGATTGGCTGATGCTTACCCCTGGAACAAGTGTTGAAAAGGTGGTCAGACTTTTCGAACATGCTTTTGGTACGGCAAGGAAACTGAAGGTCCCATGCGATGCCAGTATACAACTGCAGGATGATTCAGAGAAGCTCAGTGCAAAAGACGCAACAGCATACAGATCTGTGGGAGGCCTCTGCCTATACATCAGTCAAGAGCGTCCAGATTTGATGGTCACAATCAAAGAGCTTGCGTCAAGTATGTCCGGGGCACATGATATGTTGGGGATGTGGGAGTGATTGAACACCCCAGTACATGGTCAAGGATGTTGGAGACCTACAGTGACGCAGACTGGTCATCCAACAAGTCACACAGACGTTCAACATCGTGTGGCATTCATCTGGTCAATGGGTTATTCATGCATGGCAGCAGCCGGGGCCAGAAAACAATTTCCTTATCCTTTTGCGAGAGTGAGCTCCGCAGCTTGGTCAGTGCAGCTTGTGATGGATTGTTTTTGATGGTTTGCTTGCGTTTTGCGTTGGGAGAGGAGATCCTGCACTTGGCTTACGTTGATAGCCGCTCAGCACGGCAGTTAGCCAGCAGACAAGGATGTGGAAGAGTGAGGCTTTTATCAGGCAAAGTGTTGTGGATTCAGGAGAAAACCAATTCAGGTGAGCTGACTTTACGCCAAGTTGGAACTATGTGGAACATGGCAGACGTAGGGACAAAGGCTCTCCCCCAACATCGACTCTTTGTTTTGATGAATGAAATTGGGATGGTCCAGGTCAATACTTTTGAGGATGTTTGTATTGAAGAGCATCAGCGTCAGGTGGAAAAGTCCCACAACAGCCAGCAGTTTCATTTTTTTTCTCGAGTATTCAGTCTCAGCGTGAAACACTGGGACCTAGCACATGACTACCGGAGTTCACTGTGCTGAAACATAGGGAAAGCGCGGCAGCCCAGGATGAAGAGAGCACCCTTACCCTTCCGCTGCTTACCCAAGAGGTCCCCGGCAGCCCGAAACCCAGAGGCGTTCCAAAACACAACACACAACCACAGAACTATTACTATGATTGGTGAGGGTCAGGGGTAGCCAAGGGCTGGGACGGACCTGGTTGTGTTTGCAGCATAGAAGGGCGGTTCTTGTTGTCAGAGATCAGGATCCAACTGGTAACTGGGCTGGAAAAAAGAAACCAAGGAGCTGGAAGGTCACAATTAGCGCAGCTCTGTAGCATAAATACACCTTCGAAGGCGGGACAATAACCAAAGCCACCCAGCACCATGAAAGGAGCAAACAGCTGAGCAATAGCAACAAAGTCCCCCCCTCAAGTGCCAAAACCCCCAGGGAAAGAAAAACGACAAAAACGATAAACGAGGCGCGAAAAGAAAGAAAAAAAAAGGAGGAAGAAAAAACCTCCCCCCCCAAAAAAAAACACAAAATATATAAATAAATAAACGCGTAAGCACCTGCGCTGACACAGAACCCTGCGAGCTTCCATGGTCAAACAGAAACACTTGAACACCGAAATGAAATCATTCACTGCAGCAGCACCAAGATTCTGACATGTCAATGGCAACAAACACGTCTGCTGACACTGCAAGTCAAAATTTGGGTTGCTGCATGCATTTTTTCCGCGGAAGGCGGCTCTCTTAGTCTTAGATCTTTCGATTGCGTTGGAGTTTCCACACAGCGTCAATCCACTTCAGGACACTGGTGACATCCGGCAGGTTGGACCCCACATGAAGTCTTGTGGTCTCATCAGCAGAATCCAAAAGGTGCCCAATCAATTTGTAGGTCCCAAAACAGTTGAAAAACAGGTCTGAGGTGCACTCAAGCACATCCTTGTTGCAAAATGAGCATCGAGTTTCAAAAGGCAGCAAAGTTGATCATGAGGTTATGTGTAGCAATGGGCCTTGAGCCAACGGGAGCAGCAGCTCAGCAGTGTACTACTCCTGGTGTGGTCTGCAGAGACCAAGTGGCATACGGTACAATTTTCATGGTGGTTTTTGCTTGCATGTGCAATGGTTGGACTGGCAATGTATGGATGAAACTGAAGAAAACAATGCGAGATGTAGACCATTCAGGTGCAATTGGCAGATCGCTACGACTATGCAGCATGGTTGTGCGAACGTTTGGATAATCTGACCTATGGAGAAACAAACGAAGAGAGATTGAATCAAACCAGTGTCAGGTTGACAGTGCTGGAAGCAGACATCAGAGATGGAGTGCAAGTCCTGGATGAGACGGCAGATCAACTGAGATATGGGCTGATGGAGTTGGGAGGATTCATGCGAGACCAAGCTGTTACAGCTGCTGAGAGATCGCATATGTTCATTCAGGAACGTGCCAACTTTGTTTTGTGACAGATGAGACAAAGGAACCCAGACACCACTGACGAGGTTCAACATGAACACCATGAAGGAAGAGAATCAGAGATTGCAACAGATGATGAAGAGCCGGGGACATCAACGCCGGCTACAGGGCTGACAAGGTTACTTTTCAGTTTTGAGAGGGGAGCAAAATGCAGCGCTGGCACAGGAGGCATTTAGCGATGCCAGCCGAATTCAAAATGCAATTCTGGCAGTTCTTAGTGCTACTTCTGGTGATGTGCCGGCAGGGCTTACAATACCGCTGGCACATGAAATCAGGAACATATTCCAGCGCCTATTCAGGAGCGCCAGAAACAAAGGTGAAGATGAACGTGCGACTTCATATCGAAAATATGTGGATGATTTGCATGGATTCATGGGTGGCACTTGAGATGTTTTTTGAAGAAAGTTTGATGGAATCTCAGACACAAGCAGCTGAGAATTACGTCAACAGATGGCAGCACAAAGAAGCTGTGCTCATTGTGCTGAGGAGGAGTGCAAAGAACTTTCATGTCCACCCATGCCAAGGTTGACCCGCACAAATCGAGATGCAAAGTGCAGTTGAATCCATTTTACATTCACATGAAAACCATGTGAGGATGTTTTACTTCCGAGGCCTTATTGGCACAAAAAGGTTGCGCATTGCCCGCCGTTCTTTCACAGAATCAAATCGTGAAGTTTTCAGGCTGGTGAAACCATCTGCATCCTGATTTTCATCCCGTGGCCTGCACCGCAGAGTGAACTGCAGGTGTGAGGTTCTCGTTGGCGGCATGCGCCTTGCTTGTTTGGTGAGATATGCAGGTGAATCAGATGAATGGAACATAGGAGGAAAACAAATGATTTGGATAAGGATGAGAGCCCAGCATCCGTGACATTCGAAATTCCACCAATTTTTGCAAAGAACAGTGTGTGAGCCGTCTGTTGCAGTGCATTTGTTTTGGGTGGTTTCACATTCGTTTGAGCTTGTGATTTTTGAGTTGCCCGGGATTCGTGTTTGAGTTTTGGTTTGAGGTGTTTGGTTCCTTTGCTTAATTTCGCGTAGGCCTTGCATTTTTACTCCCGGTTTTCAGCGTCACGCTTTAGTTTGAACGTTAGCTTCTTGATTGTTTTCTGCAGTCGCATTGGCACAGGGTTCTAAAGGTTTCCTTTGGGGACTGTTGCGCTGTGACTGGCGGGAGGAGGCCATTGCTTGTTTTGTCTCCTGGGTTTCCTTGGTTTGGTTTGCTTCTTCCTGGTTTCCGAAGGGCCGGTATGGTCTCAAACGCATCCCTCATGCATCTGACCCGGGTTCAAAACTAGGGTGCCACACTAGGTGGACAGGCAGGCCACTACCCCACCCCTGAAGTTAAGGGGATGAGCTAGGGTGGTCCGTAAACACATTCATTCTTCCTGGTTTCCATGTCACTTGCTGGCGCTTCTCCTTCCGGCTGTTCTTCCTGGGTCGTCTCTGCTGGGTGGGTTTCCTATGGGCCTGTGGGTTTCTGTTTGAGTTACCGGTGCTTTTATTGAGAGGGATGGCCCATTGGTGGCCTTCCATTGTGGTTGCTAAAGGGTGGCAGGTTTGCAGACCGCTCCCCACAGCTCGAATTATTTTCTTGATTTTTGTCCCACCCAAGAAAGGAGAGCCGATCGCGGATTTTGCAAGGCGGGAAAGGCAAGAAGTGCCAATGGTTGTTGCATGCTTTTGTTTTGGCACCGTGGGGGCCGGTATTCCGTGTTTGTGCTTCCGGTTGGGGGAACGCGTAGGTTTCCGAGCAGACAAGAATTTCAGCGCCAAAATTTGACAAGCAGCACAAACACTTGGACTATTGGTTTCAAGGTTGTAGCCTCCGATTGCTGTGATGTAACTAACAACCTTCCGTTTCGAAACAACTTCTCCAAATGGTCAAGTGTTTGTTGACAAACATGTGTTTATGAACACTGCAAAGGTCACGGTTGTTTCTGAATTGGGGTGTGAAAAACAGACAGTTCGGCATTTTTCAATCCTGACCATGTTGGTACAACGATTTTTTGGTCTCAAACAACATGTGAATGGTGAAGTTGGGGGTCCAAAATTTGGTGCTCCGCAGCTGCTTGTTTTGCGGACCATGATGGAAGAAAATGCTGGGGAAGACTTTGATTTAAAGTCAGGCACGCGGGTGCGCAACATCGGTAAATGCAACAGAACGTTTTTGGTGTTTGCAAAAAAATGTTCTTGCAGGTTGATTGGTGCATGGATAGCCGTGCCACGTGGGAACCTCAATAGTTTGCAACGCTGCGAGTAACATATTGTTTTTCAAAGCATGATTGTGTGATCAGGCCTGATGCTACAGTTAGCAACAATGCAACGGCGAACCCGGTAGCTTTGCCAATTCCGCTGTCAAGTTTGCCAACGGCTTAGGTCTTGATACATTTCATGACACCGATGCACTGGGGTGCATAAAGTCGTAGTCGATTTTGCATGCAAAACTGAGGTTGGGTGGCATCGTGTGTCCCTCAACTTTTTGAAAAAAAAATAATGTTGAGTTGAGTTTCCTATGACGTTTCACAATGCATGGTAGCAGGGAGTGCCTTGCTCAATCAACAACTGGCAGGTTGCTGGCACTTCCTTCTTGCGGCTTTTACTGCCTGCAACCATCGATGATGTATTTTCACTGGTACGCAGCGTTTTGCAAAGCTATGCAGTGCAGTGTTTTTTCAGTGAAGGTGAATGGTTTTTTGCAGAAACATTCCTGCGGAAGTTTTTGAGGTGCCGCATCACACCATTTTTAGTCCAGTTGCATCGCTGCCACTGCCCTTCCGTTCCTCGGAAACTGTCGCTGTCGGGGTGTTACACCGGTAGTCAATATTTTGATTTGTCTATTCTTTAAGTTCCCCGAAACAATAGGAATGTATGGGAAAATGAATCTGAACTGGTGGATTTGGATCTAGATTTGTAAATAGATTCTATGTCCCTTAAGTATATCCCTTAGGTCTGGACAAGCCTTGAGTTGCATCGGCCATGGCACCGAGTTTGGAACCTTCTGACAGCCCACTTGTTCGAAGCAGGTTTGCTGCGCTGCGCCCTCAGTTGGAGTTTAAGGCTATGCTTTACAAGTCTCCTAAATGGTGAAATTGTGTACATTGTTTCTGGTAGATTATGCAAATTATGCGGATGGTTTGATTGATAAACTTTGATAAAATGATAAAATTAGAATGCTAAATTTGTTTGAGATTCTAAATTTGTTTGTTTTCAAATTTGCCACAGTTGGAGACGACCACAGGTGCAGTCCTCGTGGTGCCTGCAATCGTCTACATGGCATGAGCCTCAGCAGATCAGTCCTAAAGTTTTTTTGGATTTTTTTTGGTAGTTTCATTCTGTTTGTTTATTCTGTTTGTTTATTCAATTAATTTCAATTACTTCGGTTTCCTCAATCATATTAGGGATGATTAGGGATGATGATTCCTCTCGGATGATTCCATGATCCCAACTAGACTTTCATATTTTTGAGCACGGCCCATCCAACGGTGACTTCGAGGCAGAGCGTTTGGAGCGATTATGGCTTGGCACTTGGATGCTGAGGTCGAAATGGAGCTTGGGGATGAGCTCTGCCATCTGGGGAATGCCACAAATCAGCTGCCGTTCAATGTTCAAGACCAGTTTTTTTTTTCATTTTATAAGATGAATCCGGATGAATCTTACCCATTGGTGATAGTCAAATGAGTCAAATGGGTAATTTTAATCAGCCGTTGGTTTATAATTCCCACTTAAAATGTATACTGTATACTATTTTTACCACCGTGCTCCGTGCTATTGACATATATGTCAACATCACTTTATAAAACCAGCCGTTCACAGTGGTTTTCAAGTGCGCTAAACAGTTTTCTTCGAGGTCTTGGCGGTCCATGTGCCTCTACTTAGCCTTCTGTTGCATTAGTTCTTCGATTGCAGAGGCCTCAGCTGAAATCTCTGAAGGATGTCTGGGAAAAAAACCGTTGATGCGAAAAGATGGGATGGTTTTCCGCGCAAAAAATGGATGGAAAAAAATCATAAAAAATCAATGTCCTTTTCTTTGATGGGTAGTTGGATGGTCAGCACTAAATTCATGAAATCAATTGTTTCTTGAGTCAAAGTTTTGATCCATAGCAGCCATAGCACTTCCAGGGCTGCATGAAATGATTACATTTTCCAGATTTCACGGTTGCATCAAGGTGCTACTTGCGTGGGAGGTTGTCGAGGTGCTACTCATGATGCACTCATTGCTGATTGGTTTCACATATTTGGTCCATGTTTGCCTGCGATGATGACGACTCGGCCACTCCTACCCTCCAGTAATGTGTGAAATTACCAGGGGCCCGGGGGTAGCTTACCCATATTTTCAACAGGCGCAAGCACCAGATTTCTGAAGCTTTTGATGTCCTTGGAAAATTTGGAACAATCTGGCGCCAACTCTGGCCCTGGCAAGGTCTTTCGAACTGCCAATGAGAAGGACCTTTGCTGGCACCATCCAATGGTGCTTTTTCAGGGCCGATCCCTAAGGGCTTCAGTGGTTGGAGTTGTTGCCACAATCTATGGGGAAACCAGCCGATGCACGTGAGCAGCGCATCACGTGGGATGTGTTGAGGATACTGGCCCCGCCAAACAATAATTTAAATTATTAATAATAATTTAATAATAATGTAATATGGAATTGTCTTGTTTTAAGTGGGATGCTTTCTAAACTCCAACCTCCCGGAGTTTTGCGTGGCTCCGCCAGGATTTCTTTTCGGGAACTCGTGGGTGGCATGCTCAGAGAGGATTCCTGGAGCGTGAAGTTAGAAGACTGTACACTCAATTTGAGCCAAGGGTTTTTAAAGCCCCGACCGCTCAACTATGATTGGTCATTTCTTACTAGCTAATCAGCTCAGCTGAGGAACATTTGAACTTGGGCAAATGACCAAAGGATTGGAACGCAGTTTTTCTACTTCCGCCTCCAGGGTGATGTATAACAACATATGGGTATGGGTCAATACCTATAGATACATGTCTAGTGGGATGAACATCCATTTACCAGCTATTTTGGGGTTCACTAGGTACCAGGGTTTTGACCCATCCCCATATAACAACCCATCTTCGGTAAGCCAGAATTTTGTGAGGTGCAGTGGGCTGCTTGTGACGCTCTCTGTGGGGCTTCGGCACGTGCGAAACCTTGGTGGGACGATGCAGGTTGCCGGTTGCTGTGCAGCAGTTGAGCTCAAAAACATAGGGGTCAAAGGTCAACAGCATTCAACAGCTATGTTTTTGTACCTTTCTCTAAAAGGTAAAACATATATATATATACATATGTATATATATGTTTTTCAAATCATGGTTCAAATGTTCAAATCATGAATAGGGAGATGGACATGCAACAATATTATTAGTATAACTAGCTGCCAGCTATTTCGATACGACCCGACTCCCCATGAGGCCTACCCCCTGGAGGTCAGCCTCTGAGATCTGCTTTGCGAGCGTGTCACTGTGGTACTGGCACTGCACCATGTACACATAATTATGCATAGCAACAACCCAATAAAATACCATAAATGAATACCTACATACACACAATATATATATATATCTCACACACATATATATATATATTTACATTATATACATACAAATCATACAGATATACGTAGATACATATGTATAGGACAATATATATATATAGATATGAATATGTACATATGTATATATATATGTATTTATTTGGCATGTATTAAACATACACATAATAGCACGGCAGATATCTATCTATCTCTCTCTATCTATATATATATATATATACATTCATATACCTATGATGTCGTATACATGCTCATGTGCATGTATGGAAAAGAAGCTAAAGTAGGACGAACCCAATCCTATCGAACTGCGTTGCTTGGCCAAACGAGGATGGCCATTTCTTGCAAACCTTGTGCTCAAGCTGCAGCACAGATTCAGCCAGGATGAGCAGCATAAAGTTAGTCATAAACAAGTCTAGCTCTTCGGCCGCTAGGCATCGGCTAGTGCTGCAGGATCTACATAAAGACAGGGAGCTGCCCAATAATGACGTTAAGCAGAGTGGCCAAAGATACTTTAACCAGGTGCGTTGGAAACCGGCGTTGTTGACATGCAGTTTCACGTGTGCTGCAGTTCAATGTTCTCAAATTTTCATGATTTCTGTTCCAGGGGTGTGTGAGAAAAGGCTCTTGCCGGGTTGGTTCTGGATTGTTTTCAATCTTCTTTGAAAATCGTTCGAAACCTGCAGCCATATGCAACATATCTAAACTTCGCATTACATAATCCAGGGGATATCTTGAAAAGCTTTGAGCAGCGGTCATGGCAAACAACGCTGCTGAACAGTCCACTAAACAGTGGGAGGCCGATGTTGGAGATTCAAAGCAGGGTGATGGGCAAAATGCAAGAACACATGTATGACTGTATAAACACATAATGTTTCTATGTCTCAAGTTCGACCTGCATCAACCAGGAAATTCCTATGCTTTCTTTGATCTTATTGAGGAAGTCTTTAGCTCTCCTCTCTCGTTGTTTGGCAGGATGATGTGTGGAGCGGCTGGAGAGGACATCGCTGGGACGGCTGGGACGGCTGGGACCGCTCCGATGGCTGGGAGGGATCCCAGTGGAGTTGGCCCAGCTCTAACCGGCAGAGCTCGCCGCCAGAGGCCGCCGTGGAGCCTCCGTCAGAACCGGTGAGGCCGTGGTGGATGGATTCGCCAGTTCCAGGGATTCCAAGTCCCCGGGGCCGGCCAAGGAGGTGGGGCAGTGAGCAGCGAGGATACGATGAGAGTCACTCCCAGGTCTCCCAGGAAATAGCTGAGCCGACTTCCGCTGCTGCGCGGTGGTTGGCTTCGGCTCCAACACCCGCGCCATCACCTGCTCCAACACCTCCAGCAAAAATTGTGGTCCTGGGAATGCCCAAATGTGGCACAACATCCCTGCACGAGTCCTTCAAGAGAGCTGGCTTCAGGTGTGGGCACTTTCTCCAACAGATTCCGTGCAGAGAGGAAATATACTATAATTTATATGGAAATATGAACTGCCAGAATGCGGATGGGTTTCAAACCGCTTGGTCGTTGAAGATCATTCTGGTATGGTTGAAAATGATTGACCCCATAAAATACATGGCGTAATAGTCAAAATATCTCCAAAAATTGACCAGCCATTTCTGGATTTTGTTGGTCCAGTGGTGCCGCATTGTTGTTTGGCCACCCCCGGCAGGTCCGTGCACTGGGCTTTGGATGCTGGGCAGGAAGTCAAGAAGGACACACGGCTGCGGCTCTATGGGGAAGGGGCTGATGAGCGCCTGTTGGGACGTTTGATCACCAAAGCGGTTCAGCGGGGCTTGCCACCCTTTGCTTTGCTCCCGGGGGAGGTGGAGTTGCAGTTGGTTATTTTTTTTACATTTTTTTTTGTCGAGAATGTGGCCACAACAGATAGTGCAATCTTGGACATTTTGGTGGATTTGGGAGTTTGCATATTTTGGTGGACTTTGGACTTTGGAGATCCGATTTATGGACAAATCCTTTCCTTGCTGTTCTATAATTGGTTTGGGTTCCTAGTGGTACTTGACAGATATCATCCTTCTATTTGCCCCTGAGGTGGATGCCCTTGCCGAAATGAACGGGTGCCACTGGACGAGCAAACAGAAGGATGCGGTTCAAGCCTATTTTCCCCAGATGCAGTACTTGCGGGAAATCTGCGATGCATATCCAGATGCGCATTTCATCCTCAACTCTCGCAACCTGCAGGCCCATTTATAAGTGTTTCCAAGCACTCGGGACAGCAAGTAGTCAACGACACTTGTCACAGGGATGGCAGGTGCCATCCATTCTCAGACCGCCTTGAAACATCACTGAGTACGGATATTATTATCTACTATTATCTCCTCTGGCCATGGGTCACTTTATTTCATGTATCGAAAACTCGGCACAGGACTGGGTGAAGTCTGTTGACAAGCACAACGACATGCGCGAGCGTCTTATCCAAGCAGATTTGCCAGGCACACTGAGCAGCACTGGCATGGGGGCGTCCCAAGACTGCAAACTGGGAGGCCAAGAAATCACTAAGAATTGCGAACATCTGTGAGGCCCATACCCATTTCACATTTCCATTCAGCCGTTGCTTTAAGCTTTCTGTCGCGAGGCCTCCCGAAAGGTATTGGCGAAAGGGATGAGGACCAGCGGCAAATCTTGGTGCCTCCGCATCGGTGGATATCCCACGTCACCGTTACTCAAAGCATCTCAGAAGATTGACTTTGAAGTCATTTGAAGTAGTTCATTGATGTTCATTGATCCCAAAGCCCCAAAAAAGTTGGAGACCCAGGTTCTTTCCAGACCAAAGCTCGCCATAAACTAGTGGGGCAAACACAAAACACACACAGACACACATATGAATATAGTCGAAGGAAGTTTAGAAGCTAAACTTCCGACAATATGGACAGTTGAAACGCAGAGCAGGGAAGAGGCAGAGAGAAGAGAAAGATTAGAAGAAAGAAGAGGTAGATGCGCGAAAAGATAGGAAAGTCGCGATTCACTGTGTTTTTCCAATGATTTGTGGCTCCGGAGGGTCGAAAAGTAGGCTCGCTAAAGCGGCGGGTGCGGAGCCAGCTGGCCAGATGAGAGAAAGTCAAAATGGACAAAACACTAGAGGAGCGGACCACTTTTGGACGTTGCGATGTTGAAAAAGTGTACGCCGTTGTGGCGCGAAGCACATTTGGAAGTCAAAATGTAAAAAACACACCAATGTCGGACCACTTTTGGAAGTTGAGATGTCGAAAAAGTGCACGCCGTTGTGGCGAGAAGCACATTTCGAAGTGAAAATGTACAAAGCACACCATGGTCGGAGCACTTTTGGAAGTTGAGATGTCGAAAAAGTGCACGCCGTTGTGGCGCGAAGCACATTTCGAAGTCAAAATGTTAAAAACACTAGGGGTTCGGACCACTTTTGGAGGCTCAGAGGTCGAGTTTCGAAAAAGTGCACGCCGTTGTGGCGCGAAGCACATTTCGAAGTCAAAATGTGCAAAACACCAGGGGTTCGGACCACTTTTGGAGGCTGAGATGTGGAGTTTCGAAAAAGCGCACGCCGTTGTGGCGCGAAGCATATTTGGAAGTTAAAATGTTAAAAACAGTAGGGTTTCGGACCACTTTCGGCGGTGCAGAGGTTGCTTTGCTTCAACTGCACCTACAACTACAAGTACACAACGACACTACACGACATGTACAACTACACCAAAGATAGACAGGTAGACAGCCAGACAGATAGATAGATAGATAGATAGTTAGATAGATAGATAGATAGATAAGTCGATAGATAGATAGATAGATACATAGATAGATAGATAGATAGACAGATAGATAGATAGATAGGTAGATAGATAGATAGACCGATAGATAGATAGACCGATAGATAGTTAGATAGATAGATAGTGAGAAAGAAAGGTAGATAGATAGATCGATAGATAGATAGGTAGGTAGATAGATAGATAGATAGGTAGATAGACAGATAGATAGATAGTTAGAAAGATAGATAGTGAGAAAGATAGGTAGATACATAGAAGATAGGTTGGTAGGCGGGTAGATAGCCAGAGAAAGAGAGAGAAAGAGTGAGAGAGATCAAGCACCTTTCAGTCCATCAGTGGCTTCGCTCTGCCATCCCTGACTCACAACAACCAATCTCTCCTATAGGTTTCCTATTTTTGAAACTTCCGCCACCGCCTTGTGCGGTACTACTGGTATATTTGTACATGCACACACACGGAGATAGATAGATAGATAGATAGATCGATAGATCGATAGATCGATAGATCGATAGATCGATAGATCCATAGATCCATAGATCCATAGATCGATAGATCGATAGATCGATCGATGGATGCATGGATGGATGGATGGACAGATAGATAGATAGATAGATGGAGGTGTACGTATACATAAACTCATACTTTCTGGATGCTCTGGTCTAATTGGTCCAATGGATGTGGGGCAGGATTTGATCGAATGGGTCTCCCGCCATCACGAGCGCGTTGCGGCTCAGTTGATGCACTGCAGACTGTTAAAGTTCAATATCGATGTGCACGGACCCGCGAAGGGAAGGGGGTCGAGATAGGAGGGATTGGAGAAGCGTTGGCATTTGTTGAAAAACACAGGCGAAAGGTTTGGTTATGTTCAAACACTCAGAGCGAGAGAGAGAGAGAGAGAACGGGAGAGAGAGACAGACATGAGACATGAGATGTCAGTGTGAATGCATTTTTGGAAGGAATGAGTATAACATATCATCAAATGCACACACCAGCACACACAGCTATGCATCCACTTGAGAATGTGTGAGGGCCATTCATTCAGGGCCCTCGGATTTTTCCCTCTGTGTTTTGAGGAATGCCTGCCAGGAGCAGCTGAACTGAGTGCATTCCTGGGGCGGAGGATGGAATGGCCCCACTTCAATGCTACCAAGCACTGAGATGCCAGAGCCTGTGTGGCATGTAGGCAGTAAGGCAATTCATGGGAACAACTCGGGAACAACCTTTGCATGCTGGCTGTGGAAAAACGGACCGCCTTTTGGTGCGGCACTTCTCCAATGTCAACGGTTTTGGTAGCGAGATCTTGTGCTGCAACCTCCATCCGCCATCCACGGCGCAGGTGCTTCCCTATGTGCCTAAGCCATGGGGGATCCAATGCATCTTGGCTCAACTTTCGCTTGGCTCTCATCAGATTTGTAGGTTTCAACATGTTTCAATCAGCAGCACATTTAGGATCATCAATCTGATGATTTGTTTTTGCCAAAGTTCCCTCCTGTCGACCCATTTTTTTGTCATCACAGATCCAAGGTCAACATTTGCCCTTTTGCATCGTACCTTGGCCGCTTGTTGTCACTGCAGGAGGGCAGCCACCGTTTTTCTCATGTGAGGCCACAGCGTACACCGTTCTTGGGCAGGGAACTTAGTTGACTTAATCCTTTGGGAAAAAGTCGGGCCATGGGACCAGAACTTTGCTCGTCAAGGTTGCTGGGGCCACAGCTGATTCCTGAGTGGCCGTTTGCGCCCATCGCATTTTTTGCTGCCGGAATCTCAAGATTACAATGATTGCCGTTTTTTTTTTGGGGGGTGGGAACGAAAGAAATCTGCGGCCAAGGCGTGGTTTTACCTCCGCTACTTGATGTGGTGGCCGGCTCGGAATGCTTTTAAACTTGTCTTGTGCTGCATAGTCCAAGAATTCACTTACACTGTGCAGAGGTTTTCGCATGCCAAAGCCTATGGTGATCATTCGTGTTGATCTCAGCTTGGGTAATGCGTCACGAAAAAACAAGAGATCAGGTGACCCACAAAACCATGTGGGGCTGAGCTCTCACTCAGTTTGTTCAGGCCAGACTTTGTCTTTGCCAGTGCCCTGGTGTCGCTGATGTCGGGAGTGAGAGTGAGACAACACAGCAATAGCTGCTGTTGAACTTTGAGGGCCTGACCAATGCTCCACGAGGCGAATCTCTTTCCACAAGCACTGCGGCCGATAGTGAGTGCAGTGGGAGTCTGTAGCTCAGGGGTGTCCCATAGTCACAGTTCCAGACTTCTGGAGGCGAAGTCAAAACGGGATGCCTTGTTTCGATGTTGAGATTCGGGTCCTCCTAAGCAAAGTGTGGGCACTTCCGAAGATCCTTCGCAGTTCCCTTCTGTTCGGTTTCTTGGGTGCACTCCCCTCTCACATGACACACTTGCCAGTGCAAACCACTGGAATGAAAGAACGTTGACCAAAAATTCCAGAAAAAGTCCACCCAAAACATCAACAGGGGTAGGGTCCCTTTTCAAAACCACACCTATTTTAGGTGAAACGCGTCCCTTTTCCCCATGGCTTGTCCCAGGCCCTGAGCCACAACCTCGCCGCCTCGCTGGCCCCGGGCCTCTTGCGGATCCGACAGCCGGATGAAGAGCGACCTGAGGTCCATTGGATCCACTGGAAATGGTCCATGAGAATATCCACTGGGTGACTTTTTAAATTGGATCGTTTTTTTTTGTTTTTTTTTTTTCTCTGGACCATGTCAGACCATGTTCACCTTTTTGGTGATGTGTCACAGTTGCGGAAGCGCCCAAATTTATGTATAGATGATAGATATATGATATGATGATTACCTATATTTTCTTGCGTAGCGGGGATTTTCCATCCGTTAACTTACCACAGGGTACTGGTAGCAATCATGAACCATAAATCATCCATATTGTGATCGGTTTATACCACCGATTGATTTATGGTGAGGGGATGGTGCATCCAATCTCACCGATCTCACCCCCAAATTGAGATTAAACGAATTATTAGACGAATATTAGACTAAATGATGATACAAGCCACGTTAAATATTTGATGAAATCAACGGAAGTTTGGATTTATCCAAGAAACATCCAAGAAACACTGGAACTTGTGGCTCTGACATCAAATCCAACTATTATCATGGATTAAGCCTGGATTGGAAGAGGCCATCTTTCCGACGTTGGGATGGGCGGTGGCCAGGGTCTATGTTAAGAGGGTAAGGGTTAGAATATGACTGTTTGATGCTGTGATGCGTTTACGCCAGCTGGAAAAAAAATGAGGGACTGACTCAGGATCTCTTCATTTCCATTTTCTGGAGTTATTATTATCATCATTATTATCATGATTATTACTTATTACTATAATTATTATTACTATTGCCTCTCATTCTGTGCTGAACCCATGGCCGCCATGGCCATTCAAGGCTGTCATGTACGACCCCAGCCACACGAAGGATGGTGCCGTGCCTGGACCTCCAGCTATCAGCTGCATTTTTTCTGTCGGTTGCATAATATAATATCTGTATATAATATAATATATTTACATATATATATATATCTATGTGTGTGTATAAACTGATAGATATCTGCAAGATACATGTCTACATTTTTATGATCATCATTGTTATTGTTGTCGTTATTACTACGTACGATTACCAGTGTGTATATATATATATAGATCAAGCATCTTCTAACCACAACGGTCTCTGTGTCTCTCCACTGTCATTTTCCAGGCTTTGGAACATGGCCGGTGCCATGAGTTTGGCCAACGCGAGCTCCTCTTTGGCCTGGCCTGCGGCGCAGGGGCCTCGCAGAACCTGGTGAATTTTGGGGATTTGAACCCAAAATGGGAGCTCAAAAACACCAAAATCCTCAAAAAACTCGGATTTAAGTAACCAAAAATGGGGACTAGGGGAACATAGATGGCTTATGGGTTTAAAACCCACCATAAATATCCATAAATGGGGATACAATGGGGATATATATATATATATATGTATATGTATATAATGGGATTTATAATTATAAATTATAAATCTTATGAACATTTTTCTGGAGAGTTGCCTTCCCATCTTTTTGCAAGGGTTCTGCAAGTAACTTTGTGCCAAAAAATTGGGACAACTCCCAATTCCAAGTGTTTCTCCAAGAATGTGGTAGATACCCCAAACAATTGATTTAAAAAAATCATTGTTCTAATTACTCTGAAAAAGTGGTACGTCCGCCATTCTTGGACAAACCCGTGCAGCATTCATGTGGTTCATTGAGCTCACCGCACCTTGGATTCCGCTGGAGGCCTTCAGGGCAGCCCATGCCCGGGGCTCCCGGCTCCAAGGTGGGTGTCCACTCAGCGCTGCGCTGTCCAGGGTTTCCTTAGCGTTTCCTTCGCGTTTCCTGTGAGGAATACGATGCCCGCCGGGCCAAAGCTTTGAAATTGCTGGATGAATCCATCAGCTCTTTGTTAGTGCACCTTGGCGAGCCCGTTATGTTTGGCAATTTGGAGGGGATGGGCTTTTGCTAAGCCAGGAGAGTTGCCTGAGGCCTTTAGGCCTTTCTGACTTTCGCCAAACCATGTGACTTGCTTGACCTGCAAGGCCCAGCGGAGCCGAAAGCGTTCGCCTCAGTGAAAGGATTCGCAGATGAGAAGTCCCATGGACCTTGAGAATTCGACGATTTAATCACTTCTTTCACTAAACCCAACCCTGAAAATTTGACGGTTAAATCAGTTCAAAGATTGAACATGACCCTCTAGAAAAAATGGATTCCATCTCAAAATGGACCCAGTGTTTTGACGTTTCTGAAGTTTTTTCTAGGCTACTTGGTCTATCGGCCTCGTTTCCACCGAGAAAAACAGCGGTTTGGCGCCAGGCACAGCGCCGGCACATCCTCCAGAGAACCTGCCTGAGATGTCTGAGCTGTGGGAAGCCTAGCTAGGTGTGTTGAAGGGGTGGTGATATTCCCATTGGATAAAAAAATGAATGAATAAATTTATGAATGAATATATATATATTTGTATGTGTGTGTAAAGCGGATGGATGGATGGATTGATGAATGGATGGACATTTGACATTACCGTGACTAGAGTAAAAAGCCAAAACAACTCCATCAAGTCAAGTGATGCAACTATGGATTCACACCTGCCAATCATATGGGCTTGCCAATCGTGAATGAAAACCCATTAAAAGCTGCCAAACATGCATATTTGAAGAAGAGCTCTCAAGAGAAGAATGCGGAGACAAGATTATCAATCTTGAAGGCTTGAAGAAGATGTGCGATTTCCGCTGATTTCCTTCAAGCTGACAAAGATGCAGCTTGCTGTATTTCCTGGGGAGCTTGGGCAGCCCAATGCGGCATACTCTCTTCGAAGTCTTTGGGTTGAAATCCAAATCCTGCAAAGTATGGGATAGTCATTTCGCTGTTGGCTTGAGTTGCTTCGCCTTTGCCCCAAGTGCTGCTGCTTTCTGGGCTGTGTCTCTGTGTCTCTTCCAATTTGCAGATCTGGAGGCTGGGAGAAGATCTGAGGGACTTCTCAGAGGGGCTGGGTTTCCAACCAGAAATCTCATCTTGGGACGATAAAAAAAAGGGGTTCACAGCTGCAGGATCCTGGCGTTTGGATCCAGGTGATCCTGTATGCTTTGCTGGGTGTCTTGTACACTCTGGTGGTCATTACATCATACCTGGCGGACTATCTCTTTATCAAACGCGAACAGCGGTCCCTCTATGGATCCTTGGCGTGACGAATTTGCTATCAGCGTGACTCTCCTCCAATCTTTGAATCCTCAGGTTTTATAGCTGTAATTCCGGCATTCCGTAGTTCTCCCATGGTTACGATGGCGTGTTGATGGATTGTTGGATCTTTCTTTTGCAAGGACGAGTTGACATCGCCTTGGCTTCTGGCACCTTCTTTTTGTCCATGTTTGACTACTTCCTCCGCGCAACGTTCCTGGAGACCCTAGTGCTGGTGTTGATGGCCATGTCCGCCTTTGTCATGTCCTCAGATTCCGAAGCTTGAGGGTCCAATTCTCAGCATCTCCTGGAAATGTGTAGAGCATGTAGAGGTGTTGGCCATTCTCAAGCTTTTTGAAGTGATTTCCCATATCTTTTGCGTTCCGCGCCAGTGCCGGATTTCTTTCTTATTGGGGACGTGAATCAACGAAACAAGCCAGTTTCAAATTGCCCAAGTGTCGTTCATGATGAACCCTGTCCAGCTGGTCAGGCCTGGTCGGGGCGCTCTGAGTCCTTCGATACCTGGGTGTGGCGCCACTGCTGCTGGCATGTCATTGGAGGTTCCATCGCACTTTATGGAGCTTTGATGCATTTGCCCAGCGCCAGTAGCATCCAGGGCGGCAAGTAGGGCTTGCGGCACACGGACAGGGAATCCATTTCTACCTGATTTAGTGTTTTCATCCTGGAAGTGAGGTATCACCACTCCGTTGCACTTTGGCTGCAACTTGCAGGAAGCTGTTCGGGTCACAGTTGCAACGAACATGACCCACGATTGGGTACAAACATAGTGTCCAATGGACTTCATGGGATTCAAACATCGTTTTTTTTTTGGGGCAGTTGGGCAGTCTCTTCCCCCTTGAGCCATTGCAGATGGACCAATGGGATTTTGAGGCGGTGCTGCTGAGTCTGCTGAGGCCCCAATATCTTCTCCTGATGGAAGGTCTTTACATCGCGGCCATCGCCACATTCCTGGCGCTGCGGCAAAACCTGCAGCTGGAGCGAAAGGAGGAGCTTTGGGACAGTTGGGCTGTGTAGCTGCCCAAGTTGGTTGAGCTTTCCTGCTATGAGTTTGGTGAAGGTATGGATCTTCCTGTACGTTCCTCTGTTCCGGCATCTGAGGTGTGCCAACTGGCAGCTTCACCCTAGCCTTGGTCACTTGGACTTGAATTGAATTGGGATGCTTGGGAGGCCTAGGCTAGGGCCTCTGGGGCTGCTCCCAGGTGATGGACTACAAAGCCTGGAAGAATCAGATGGGGAAGACCCAGGTTGCTGCACCTTCACAAGGCTGTGGGCATTTGGGAAAACACGGGGCCATTGTTGGCCAATCTCATTGCATGCAGGTCCTCTTCCCAAAGAGCCTTAATCCACACAGCCACACGCATAATTTTGCCCCTCTCACATGATTTGTGCGGGTGTTTCTTTGGTGCCTGTTCGCAGCTTTGGCTTGGAAAGCTAATATTCATGCGACTTGCTTATATAGGTTCTTAGCAAGAATGTGCAGGAGCAGTCAGCTGGACCAAATCCTTCAAGATTCATAAGCTCTGACATTTGGTACCTATGGAGCTAGTTTTGGTCGACCCCAGGGTGGCCCATCTCTGCTCTCCATTTCCAAGACAGACAAAGCTCAAAGTTGTCCAAAGACCCCAGGAGCTATTTTGCAACTTGAGAGTGTAACAATTATTGCCATGATGGACGCGGTATCCCTGACCCCTGTCTATCGCCGGGCGAGACATGCAGGGCCATCTGCCAGTTATCAGAATCCGCGGGTCCTTGGAAAATGTTCCAACTTTTGGCGCCAAACACGTGGTGATTTTGCGGCCGTTGCTGGGTCCTTCTGTTCCGTCACCGTGCTAAGCATATGCCTTGGCCGCCTTGGCCGCCATGGAGACCATGGCCGTTCCAGGCTGCCACGGGGCTTTTGGACTTGGCCCTGGGCGTCGGATACTGCGAAGGAGATCAAGGAGCTGCTGCTGGCGGCTAAGGGTGAAGAGCTGGAGCCCAGCAGTCGCAGAAAAGTGGAGGAAGGGATTGACTTCTTGGCCGCTGCTCGTGTGCCGTGCCCTGCTGAGTTGTTGGGAGACAGCAGCTCACCCAGTGAGGGCTTGTGGCGCTCGGTGTTCATCCAGGGAAAGATCCCAAAATGGGAGGAGAACGCACGGCTCTTGAAGCCCTTGGTGCGAAACAAGGCGGGACAAGCCTATGATGCGAAACAAGGGAGGGTGACCAACTATGGCGAAATCCTGGGGCCATTGGTGCACTTTGTGGCGGAAGGGAGCTTTACGGCCAAAGATGGCACAGGTCAATGCCCCAAAGAATTTGATGTGGAGATTGAGCAGGGAGGCTTGGTGCTTTTTGGAGTGCCACTGTTGTCCTCTGCCATCTCGGGACCTGGCCTGGTGCGGGTTCTGTACATCGATGAGGACATCCGCATCTTTGAGTCCCCCACGGAATCGCCAGATCGTTGGGAAGAGGAGGGGCTGCGGGTTATCCAGGTACGAGAGCAGCTCTACAGCTGATCTGCAGCTCTGCTGAGTTGGTTTGTGGAAAAAAGGGCAGATGGCTTTGATCGGGTGGAGGTCAAGTAGGATTAGTGTCAAAGTATAACATGAGCCAGTTGCCATGTGGCATGTGCGGGTCGCGGCCTGCTTGGTACCCCTCTTTGGTTGCTAGTTCCATGTTGAAGCTGCAGTCCTTGTTGGCTCGAAGAGGGGGCCCAGCTGGTGAAGCTGATGGAAATCGGAACGGAGGTCTTTGTGAAGGGAAAGGGGCGCGGAATTCTGGCCCTGAACAATGAGGATGGAACTTGGTGTCTTGATGGCAAAAGCCACATATTATCGAGATATTATATAACATCTTTGGTTGGCACAGTTTCAACTGTTTGAACGTTTGGGATGATAGTACTACTTGACTAATATTCTTGAGGGGCGTTGAAACCATCAACTGAGCAGCGTTCCAAACCCCCAGTGGCTGATGATTAGTTCGGCGATGATACCTTCTGGCAATTTAACATAGCTATGGAGAATCAGAATGTTTTATGAGTAAATCAAATCATCTATTTTCATGGGCCAGCAATCTGTAAAGTTATCATAGTCTCATAGTGCATTTCCCCCGTTGGTTAAATCAAGTTAAATCCCCATGAGTCACCAGAACCCTTCCATGAAATCCATGGAAAATATATGGGGGGCCCGGGGATGATCACGGTCCATGAAAGGGGGAAATCTGTTCTCAACCAGCCCCAAGGAATGTGGAGTTTTACGATGATGGAGCTGAAGGGGACTTCTATGAGGAGGACCTGCTGGTAATCCCAAGCCCCCAGTTGTTCCCGAAAAGATAGAACGCGTATAATATATAATTATATATATATATATATGTATATATAATATGTATATATATATATATGTATGTATGTATGTATATAGATGTATATATATATATATACATGTATGTATATATCTATGGGGGGTATTCAATATTGCCTTACCTCTCTATTTGGCTATCTGTCTGCTGATCTGTCCATCTGCATAATGCGTCTGTACATGTAACATGCAGTTAATGACATTTGCAAAACATATCAAAAATAGCAATAATGACAACTTAATGACAACACACATATGAACATACATATTACATGCATACAGATATATCAGATCTTCCTGTCCATCCATCCATCCATCCATCCATCCATCCAAACAAACGCTAGACGCAGCTGGCATAGTGTAAGCGATGAAATACCTATTCATACATCTATCCAAATCCAGAATCCAATCCAATCTGTAGATGGCAATCCAATCCGTATCTAGATAGATATTATGGACATATCTTTTCTATGGAGAGGGACATTTTTTATAGGGACACTCCATTCGTTTCTATGAAGCCCAGCTTTAATGAATATATCCCCTACTTTTAGGCCCTTGGCCCGACTTGGCTCAGGACCTGATGCCCTTGGAAGACCTGGTGCGTCGTTGGTCCCCCGCCGGCGCCCGCGTGGTGCCTGCGCCCTGGACGTCGCCGCGGCCGGAAGGCTGGACGCGCTTCGTGTGCTTCAGCGACCCGGGTCGAAACCGGCGTCGTATGGCGCCATACGGCGCCACGGGGTTCACCAGGAGAGAGCTATGAAAAATGGAGGATACTTCCAAGATCTTCCAAGTTATATATGTCATATGGCCATTTTTGATGGGAACACTGAATGAACATGATCAACCAGTGGAATTTAGAGTCTTTTTCGCAAAAGAATCAGACAAACCAAGTTGTACTTGGGTTTGGTACTTGATTTTTTTAAGGGGAAAACCTTCAACATCCGCTGGTTGAGAGCATTCTCTTCCCTATTCAAGTGGGCGTTTGGGGGAGTATACCCAATTTTCAGATACCTCCATATGGGAGATGAAGTGATTGAACCATCAATCAACTAAAAAAACATCAGAAGGCATGTGATCAAATGAATTGATTTTCCCATCATAATTTGGGAGTTCTGCCAGCAAATCACGAAAGTTAGCGGTAGCTAGCTGGAGTTTACTCTTGCTTTAGCAAGGGAGGGGCAGCTCTGAGTCCAACACTTCATCCCCTTCTATTTCTTACCTCTCTTCCTTCCCAATAGCTTTCGTCCACCTCCCCTGGGCCTCAAGCATAGTATAGTGATATTCCAGCTGACACCACCGGTATGGGGACAAGACCTTCCCGAAGACTCATTTCACCCAAACTTTTCTTTTCCAAATATATACTGTATCAAATAAGTAGCAATGAATAAAGATTCAATCCACTCAGCTCAATAAATGCTACTTCAACAAAAACTGGTGCGCCATCATGGTGTGTCATAAACCTTGGAGACGCCCGGAAATTCCTTGACGAGTTCGTCCCAAAAACCGAGGTGACACTCACGGCCTGCATCAGCTGATTCCAAAGGATCACATGCCACCAGCAGATGTCCTCTTGCATGCAGGCCTGGGAGACCTCGCTGGTATGGTCCAATCCAGGAAAGTCAGCTCCGGATTGCTGATTTGCAGTGATTAGATGAGAAATGATGAGAATTTTCTTGGGGACAACAAATGCCATCTTTTTAGTGCCTGTTAAAATGAAGCCCTCCGCTTCAACTACGGGACCTGAGGGACCTAAGGGACCTAAGGGACCTCGGTGATGGGCCAGGTGACTTCACCAACACTGGGGAACTGGAGCAAATCGAGTCCTTTAATGAATGGTTGGAGGCATATCCTGCGGAGCAGAAGCTGGTGATTGCTGGAAATCATGACATCACTTTGCAGGAGGACCCTGGAAGATTTTGTCTGAAAAATGGATCCGACCTACCTCCAAATCCACTCGTTTCTTGGAATGCTATGGGATGGTTCCACAAATGAGCATCTGGCCCGTGTTGCTCGTTTCTTAGCTCTCTCATTTGGATCCCATACCCGAAATCTTAGCCATGATATCCCACCTTATCTGGGGGGTTTATATCATACCCACATTATGATGAAAGAGGATACTATTTCCCCAATTTCAGGTGGCGTGGAATCTGCTCCCACATCTCCTGTAGGACTACTACAGGTCGCGTGGAGCGTCGCGCTTTCATCGTGGCGTCCCATACGACTGCAGTAAAGCAAGACCCTTGCTGAAGGGCTGCAGCTATTTGGAAGACACTTCTGTAGCTGGATAGTGCTTTGGATGTTTTCTCACTGGGTTGCTCTTTTAGTGGAAATTTATGGGAAACTAATGGAAACCAAGGTTTGTACAATGGACTCTAAGGGTTTTCCGTCGGTTTTCGCTTGCAGGCTTTGTCAGGTCATCACACACTGAGAGGCGAGCGAAGTGTGGTGGAGATTCCCGGACAGATAGAGAAAGATTTATGGATAGGTTGATAGGCAGACAGATGGATAGGTTGATCTTAATTGGCAGATTCTCTTGCATCTCATGGATAAGCTTGTCATTCCTCAAAACTAAGTATACTTAAAGTAGAAGAATCAAGAAGAGGCAAAATGTCCAAGATCCAGTCGCTTCTTTGAGTCTTTGGCTCAGGTTGAAGTTCGTGGTTACCAGATCTATGGCTCACCCTGGCAGCCCGAGTTCTTCGACTGGGCCTTCAATTTACCTCGTGGCGAAGAGCTCCGCCAAAAATGGTCCGCCATCCCCCCAGACACGGATCTCCTGCTGGCGCACGGCCCACCAGCAGGACATGTGGATATGACCTCCCGAGCTGGGCGCGTGGGGTGCCAGGACCTGCGGGAAGCTGTACATCAGCGCAGTATCTCAGTGGTGGTGAGTGGGCACCTACATTCAGCCTATGGCACTGATGCAGATGAGGTGCGAAAACTTCGGCCGGTTCCACAAACGTTCTGGCTTGGTACTAGACCATCCCATTGTATCCAATTGTGGTGTTCTCTAATGCTATATATATATATATCTGTGTGTGTGAGTGTGTGTGTGTGTGTGAACCATCTGTAAAGATGTGAAACTTCTAACCTAGCAGGGGGCATGCGGCCATCATGCAAACGCATGCCAACGAAGCTATGCATGATGGTGGAAGCCGGGGCTGATCACCCTGGTGTACCTGCTTTATCACTCCAATGTTTTCAGCAATGGGACGTGGCTAACCCAAGAACCACCAAGCCGTTTCCAACAATCTGTTTTTTCCTGTTTGCACGGTTTTCGCAATCTGAACTACTGCCGACTTTGTCAGATGGAACAGTTGCATCTAGCAAGGACGTAGAAAGAATTCCTCTACACTGTTTCTCACGCCTAGTCATTCACCACTTCCTGTCAGGTTTAAATGAGGTGTTTTTGCAAGTTCGATGCATTCCACATCAGTAATTCGATAAGATATTTCTGAGCAAGTGTGTGACTCATGCCGGAAGGTGGTATGAGCCCTTCGGGGAAAGCCTTTCTAGGCTAACTGTCGGCAGTAAATCGATGTCTGAATTTAGACTTTTGAATTAGTAATTCGTTTAAGTAAATTGAACAGCCGACCTTTTTTTCCTTGTCTCACTCGTCGATGTCGTTGTGTTGAACTGCTGGCCGCTGTACTGGGCCTCACCCTTTTCCTTTTCTCATTTGTCGATGTCAATGTGTTGAACAACTGGCCGCAGTACTGGGCTTCCACTTTTTTCACCGTTCACTTTGCTCTGCATAGCTGGAAGCTGCGACAACATCGCTCCTTTTTTTGAGTGCTGCTCAAGAGACTGGCCACATGCCTGACATGCTCACATGATCAGGCAAAAGGACATGCTTGCAGGTATGGTGCCTTTTTCTTCTTTTTTGGTCGTTGGTGAGGTTCAATTGTGCACCTAATTCAGGGGTTGAACACGTAAGCCGTCCAGAGGGTTGTGACTTGAAAGCCGAGGGCCTTTGAGCCTTATCACGAATTTTGCATGCGTTGTGGATGCATCTTGTCATAAACTAGTTCCCCATGGGTCCCTATTTCATGTGTTCTTGCGTTCTCCTCTCTCCAGGTAGGTTTGGCCCGTTGCGTGCTGAGGTTGTTGTAGGTTTTCGCCGCGTCAGGTTGGTTCAGGCGCTTCTGTCTTCCCCCTCCTCCGCTGGTCTTGTTTCGGTTTCCGTCGGCCTCCGCTTTTCTTTTCCCTTGCCTTTCCAGGGTTGCCCGTTGCGGGCTAGGTTTCATGTGTTGGTGTTTTCTCTTTCCCTCTTCTTTTGCGTTCCCCTCTTTGCGTCCTAGTTAAGTAACTTTCATCTCATGGTCATCTTCACCTCATCTTCATTTCCCTTCCTCTCCATTTTCATCTCATTGTCGGGACCTTAATTTCCCACCCTCCTGCGGGAGGGTGTGTGTGTGAACCATCTGTAAAGATGTAAAACTTCTAACCTAGCAGGGGGCATGCGGCCAGCATGCAAACGCATGCCAACGACGCTATGCATGATGGTGGAAGCCGGGGCTGATCACCCTGGTGTACCTGCTTTATCACTCCAATGTTTTCAGCAATGGGACGTGGCTAACCCAAGAACCACCAAGCCGTTTCCAACAATCTGTTTTTTCCTGTTTGCACGGTTTTCGCAATCTGAACTACTGCCGACTTTGTCAGATGGAACAGTTGCATCTAGCAAGGACGTAGAAAGAATTCCTCTACACTGTTTCTCACGCCTAGTCATTCACCACTTCCTGTCAGGTTTAAATGAGGTGTTTTTGCACGTTCGATGCGTTCCACATCAGTAATTCGATAAGATATTTCTGAGCAAGTGTGTGCATATATATATATATATTCTATATAGATGTACACTGTTGTATACACATCTAATATCTAATATTCCAAAATCTAATAATCTAAAATCTAAGATCTAAATGCTAACATCTGTGTGGAGTGCGCAGTCAAAAAAATCAAATATCTATACCTACACTATTTCACTATATCACTATTATATCATTATATATATATATATGTATCACTCTCTCTCTCTCTCTATAAGTATGATAAGTATGTGCATGGTTAGGGGTATCAATTTTGGAGCCAACAGTCCGCAGGTGACCCTGTACGTGAATGCTTCCACTTGCACAGAGCAGTACAACCCCACTCACAAACCCATTGTGTTCGATTTGCCGCCTGCGCACGAGCTCAGAGAAGCAACCAAAAAGGCAGCTTTGGAGCGCAAGGAAGGCAAACTTCAGCTGTGAGTATGGCTCACCACCTGAATTTGAGACATAGAGCATATTTTGGCACGTTTCAAGGCTGTTGTACAGTTCAGCCATTTTGGACTCATCTTTTACTTTTCTCCCTTGCTGCAAGCTTGTGCAGGTTGAGCTTGGATAACTGCAGCGGTGTTGAAAAAAGTGTTTGCCTTATTGCCAGGTTGTCTCTTGCAAATGCCTCTCGAGGTACCCCCAATTAGGATTGTCACCCATACCCAGTGCATGCAGTTTCTCCTGTCGGCAAGGGCATGTCCAAGCACGAGCTGAGTGAGAAGCATATCGTGATTTGAGCAGATCTGGAGATTTGCGAAGCGACATTTGAAGTGCCCATCCTTGCGATGACATCGCCAAAAGGATGATTTGTCGGACCAGACAGCACCAGGATGAAGAAAAATGATCGAGAGCACTCTGAGAGCGCGCCATGTGTTCAGAGTTGCTGCTCTGCAAAAGTCTCCTTGATCAATCAATTGGCTGGTCCCAAGGGATCCCAAGGGTGTCTCAAAATTGCAAGAGTGTTTCCTTAAACCTTGCTATATGTTGCCAATTGCTGCCATGTATGGAGATATCAATCTACTCCTGCCTCTTAGGCCGGCGGCAAATGGCTCATCCTCACCCAAGGACCTTGGGAAACTTGCTGAAGGGTGACGGTTGCTGTTGTTGCTATTTGGGTTTCTAGGTAGTCTCAGTTACTCCGCTTGATACCCTAAGTTGCGCAAATCTTTTGCATAAATCTTTTCCATCAACAGTCGTGTCATCTTCTGACTCTGATGCAGGAGACTGGTGTGCCTGACAGCGAGGCACGCCCACCTTTTTTTAAAGGCTTCTCGCAGAGCCTGAGGTGATGATAAGGTCTTTGGGATGAAGATATGAAGCACAGTTTGTGAACACCCTAAACTAGCCATTTCATCGGTTATCTGGGCAATCATTTGAGGGGCAAGGATTTTTGGAGATCCCATTCCCACCTCAACTCATTTGTGATGTTTTCGCCTCTCAGGCAGCTTCAGCACCAGTCTGATGAGGAAAGCCACAGAACACTAGTGATTCAAAGGCGAGAAGAGAAACAAGATGAAACAAGATGAAACAAGATGAAACAAGATGAAACAAGATGAAACAAGATGAAACAAGATGAGAGGATGTCTTTTTGCAAAAAAACACCACAAAAATAGGAACAACTTGGCACTACCTTGATGTTTTCTTCCTCCACTGTGGTTGAAGTTGTGCTGTGTCGCCCTTCATGTACTCCATGTGAGCAGTCACCCGTCGGACTAAAGCGTCCAAAAGCCTAGAGCAGAGAAAATGTTACGCCGCAGAAGTGTTTTGGAGCGCAGATTCCTGGAGGGTCTGGAAGCAGCCTGAAGATATGGGTTTCTCAAAAAATGCGGTAGTATACCCAAAATTAACATCTTTATTGAGAAAATGATGATAAGCAGTGGATTTTGGGATCCCAGAAAATCGAGGTGTCGGCCGCTTTCCGCAGGGCCCAAAAAAGAGTCTGGTCGCGAGAGCAGAACCCTGACATCTTCGCCATGGCACGTTCAAAAGCCCCGAAACCTTCACTGACCATGGCATACCTAAGCCTACTCCTGGCAGCGGTCGGAGTGGTTTTGTCCTTGGTGGCCTTGGTTGGCATTTGGTGGTTTGGCGAGATCAACCCGGCAATCTTTGGAGGAGCCTTCAAGGGTAGAGGCTGGTGGCCGAGGGACCGGGACAACATGGTTCCAGCCTCTCATGTCCAGCTGATCTGGCTGGTGGTTTCAAATATATCTTCTTTCACCCGCTCCCTGGGATGATGTCCGGCCAATATTTTACTTGGCTTTGGTCAATTTGGAGATTTCCACATTTTCCGTGCCATCAGGTCCTTGGACAGATCCCTGGCCAGGTAGCCTCAGCCTGTGGGGCTTTGCGACCTCTGCCGATTTGCTGGGCATCAGTTTGCCCACCACCTTCCTGGAACTGGATGATGGTGCCTGTGGGCCTTCCTCACCCCTGCGGGGCGAGGCCATGCCATGACTCCCTTCAACTTCACATGGCCATGAAAATCCTACCAAGTTGTAGACACTTCTCTTGTTCCCCTGACACACAAGGTGTCAAGATTCTGATGTGCAGAGTGGCAGGAGATGTGTCGAAGGCTCCACGCCATACGAGGATTGGTGTGCCACCTTAGAATGTACTGTGAGCCCGTCGCTGTAAAATGTTAGGATGGCGTGACAGGAGTTTGACATACCACGACGCAGCTGGTCTACATAAACCCACGCATACATACATACATACATACATACATACATACATACATACGTACGTACGTACGTACGTATGTACGTACATACACGCATACATACATTCATACATACATGCATGCATACATACATACATAGATACATAGATACATAGATACATAGATACATAGATACACAGATACATACATACATACATACGTACGTACGTACGTATGTACGTACATACACGCATACATACATACATACATACATACATACATACATACATACATACATACATACATACATACATACATACATACATACATACATACATACATACATACATACATACATACATACATACATACATACATACATACATACATACATACATACATACATACATACATACACATACATACATACATACATACATACATACATACATACATACATACATACATACATACATACATACATACATACATACATACATACATACATACATACATACATACATACATACATACATACATACATACATACATACATACATACATACATACATACATACATACATACATACATACATACATACATACATACATACATACATACATACATACATACATACATACATACATACATACATACATGTATATGTAATATGTCTCGGTGGGTAAAGTGGCAACCCCAATTCTAAAACGATCACCAATTATTTTAAATGGATCTACCCTTGTTTGGGATGGTTCATAAGAACCCCCAAGTGGTTGCTTTATGATTTGGTCTCCCACATTGCCCTGAAACCAACCAGAAGCCATCTCCGGTGAACAGCTAAGCAGCTAAGTACTAAGGTTGTCTCATCTGTTGCTTTCATGGGATTTGCTCTGATATCTTCGATCTTCGCTCTATTTGCAATGGGCGACTGCTGTCATGGTAAACACAGAATCAGGACTCCCGTGATTTGTGTTTGCAGACCGCTTTATCGAAACAGGGCATCAACAGTAAGTGGAAAACCTCCATTGCACACAAAAAGGCCGCCAAAAAGTATGTGTGTATTTCCCAATTTTCCCATTTCTCTTCAGGGTGAATAACTCAAAGTGAAAGACCCAGAGCATCGCTGGCTTGAACCCATTCCACCAGAGGAGTCAGCTATCTACAGCTTTCATGGCCATGGTCTCTGTAGCTTGCATGGTTTGTGCACTGGCCATTGGTTGTTCGACGGACACTGAACATGTGATGATGGAGTTTGGTGGGATGGGTGCCGCATTCTACAGCCACTTGGCCGCAGATCTTTGATCTTCGGGCAGCTGTTTGATTTTGTACTGTGAAGATCTGTGAAGCATATTTCAGGTGCGGTGGCTCAAATCTTGGTGGGCTTTGTGGCAGTGAATATCTCTTGTGTTGGTGGGTCCAAAGCTGAGTTGAGCAGACAAGGGGATGGGCAGAAAGCAGTTCCTGTTGAGAGCGATCGGAGACTTTCTGAGGTGCTTTCTGCTGACTGGCCAGCCAAAAGAAGATGCCAGGGCTATACACAATTCCGAGGCATCAGGAGTGTGACCCCAGTGGCACAGTGCCGTAGCTAGCTGTTGTCCACCTGCGACATATAGCGACTAAACTAAACTTGATATGTACAGCTTCTCAGCATTTTATCCGGTGGCAAGGTCCATTGGAAATTCGCTCTTTGAAGCGACTTCATGGCGGTTGAAGTGGGCTCTGTACAGCGAAACAGAGATGTTTCGGAGGTGTTCTGGTGAGGCAAGACCCTGTAAAGTGCCACTTGCGTGCCCGAAAAAAGGGGTGCTAAATTCCAGAAGAGAGACAAGACTGAGAGTTTCTGTAGCGCATCCCTTGCTGGTGCCGTATGGCAGCGATGTGATCGGGGGTCAAACTTGAAAAGGCACCCAAGAATGGGTCTGAAAAAAGATATGACAATAGAAAGTCCCGGATTTGTAGATGATTGACTTACTGACCTACTGACCGATTTTGTGAAGCCCTTTGGCCCAAAATTTTCGGACCTTGGAGGGGCATTGCCTTGGGGCGCCATGGATGGGAAGGACTTGGGAATCAAGGGGTTGTCAAAGGGGTCAAAGGGTCCCTGCGTTTTTGCACAGACTGACCCCATCCAACCCATATGAAATAGGCATCAAAATGGCTAGATCCAGTACTAAACCTTGCTTCGTGGCTGTTAGAGTTACTGTAATATTTTGGGAAGGGATTGCAATTGAACAGATTCATTTGGAGCATGGCACTTGGATTGCGGCCAGCATTTGTCTCAATGGCTCGGTTTGAAGGAAAGGTTGCAGACTCCCCGACTTTGCTGGCAAAAAACCATATAAAACCATCGCGAAAGACAATGCTTTCCTTGCAAGAACCCCTGACATCCCATCCTTTTGCTTTAGGTCTTTCAGATTTTGAATTTTGATCCCGATCTTAGGACCATCTGGCTGCCCCCTTGCTGGGCAAGAAGGCACCCCCTCCACTGACACCCCTCTATGCAGCGCCCTGGTTTAGCACTAGACCGAACAATTGTCTCAGGGTTCACTTCAGTTTTTTTTTCCCTTCCAATTTTTGAACAAATGGGGCCGTCACTCTTCAAGAGTAGTGCATGGAGGATCATGTGGATTTGCATGTTTCGGCATGTATATGTTGTGTTATGAACTTGAGGGGCTCCTGCCTTTGAACAAAGCCTTGTGAACTGATGAGGTAAGTCTCCTTCGAACGTAGCTTGGTAGCAGCATATGTTGGGCAGTTTGAGGTTGAGAAGCTTGTCTGAGAACTGACTATAGGGAGTGTGGAAGAGTTTTGGTGCCACTAAGGACTGCTGTGGCAATAGCAATGATCCCAGCCTTCAATTTGAGAGCTACCCGCTGGCAGTTGGGTTCTGGGATGATGCAACTAGCACTTGCTGTGGCTAGTAGTGTAGAACTAGTATGCAGGTAGATGGATGAGTGGATGGGTGAATGGGTGGGGATGGGTGGATGCATAGGTAGACAGATAGATAGACCCAGTGTACAACCCAGGATAGTCCCAATCCAAGTAATGTCTGGCTTCACTAGTCGGTGGCTTCCGTTGATTTTGGCCTAGGTTTCAGCACTAGGGCAGGCTGCTGGTTATGATGCCGCCGAAGTAGCCAATGCCTTGGGCGCGGGACCCTGGCAGCCTGAGGGTGGGAAGCCCCAAACTGACGCAAATCACTTTGCTTGAAATGGTTGAAAAACAAGGCCCCGATCCAAAAAACACATTAGAGCCTTCGTGCAGACTATTTTTGGGCTGGAGTGCCAACTTCTGAATCAAAGAGAATTAGAGGGTTTTATTCAAAAAAAATACGCCATCCCAGGCCCAGCATCTCCCCAGAAAACCTCCAGAAACCGGCCAGGCCTCATCAGTGCCCTGCGCAGCTTCTCAGAGTTCACTGCCGCACCGATGTTGGCCTCGTGGTCAGATCGCCACGGCCGAAAGTGGGCACTGCTGCTGTCCTCCGTGGCCTTCGTCTTGGAAGCCGCACTCATCGCAGTGCCCTGGGCGCTGGGTGGGTTGTAGGGCCCTGGGCAGAGTGGATGGGAATGGATAGGATCAAGTTATGAAGTGTGTAAAAAATCGTAAAACTACAACAGCACTGGCTCTGAAATGGCACAATTATAGGACCGGATAACCCCGCATGTTACCAACTTCTTTAGACTTAGACTGAGCATAGAAAAGCAAGAAGGGAAGAGGAAGGATAAGAGTGATGGAGGGGTGATGGTGGGTGAGTGATAAAAATACCAGGTAAAACATGGCAGGGAGACGCAAGCTATCTATCTAACAATCTATCTATCTATCTATCTATCCATCCATCCATCCATCCATCCATCTATCTATGTCTCTCTCCCTATCTCTCTATCTATCTACTATCTATCAGACCTGTCTGTCTGTCTGTCTATCTATCTATCAATCTATCTATCTGTCCATCTATCTGTCTATGCATCAAAATATCTATCTATCGACACAAGCCATCTGTCATGTATGTCAAACCTGCCAGGGCGACGTGAACATGCCGCCTGAAAGCCAAAAATGCCATCTAAAACATGGCAGGGAGACGCAAGCTAGCAGCTATCTATCATGTATGTCAAACCTGCCAGGGCAACGTGAACATGCCGCCTGAAGGCCAAAAATGCCAGCTAAAACATGGCAGGGAGACGCGCGCTACCTATCCTGTATGTCAAACCTGCCACGGCGACGTGAACATGCCGCCGGAAAGCCAAAAATGCCAGCTAAAACATGGCAGGGAGACGCAAGCTACCTATCCTGTATGTCAAACTTGCGAGGGCCACGTGAACATGCTGCCTGAAGGCCAAAAATGCCAGCTAAAACATGGCAGGGGGACGCAAGCTACCTATCCTGTATGTCAAACTTGCGAGGGCCATGTGAACATGCCGCTTGAAGGCTAAAAATACCAGGTAAAACATGGCAGGGAGACGCAAGCTATCTATCTAACAATCTATATATCTATCTATCCATCCATCCATCCATGCATCCATCCATCCATCTATCTATGTCTCTCCCTATCTCTCTATCTATCTACTATCTATCAAAACTGTCTGTCTATCTATCTATCTATCTATCTATCTGTCCATCTATCTGTCTATGCATCAAAATATCTATCTATCTATCAATCAATCTATCTATCTATCGACGCAAGCCATCTGTCATGTATGTCAAACCTGCCAGGGCGACGTGAACATGCCGCCTGAAAGCCAAAAATGCCATCTAAAACATGGCAGGGAGACGCAAGCTAGCAGCTATCTATCATGTATGTCAAACCTGCCAGGGCAACGTGAACATGCCGCCTGAAGGCCAAAAATGCCAGCTAAAACATGGCAGGGAGACGCAAACTACCTATCCTGTATGTCAAACTTGCGAGGGCCACGTGAACATGCCGCCGGAAAGCCAAAAATACGAGCTAAAACATGGCAGGGAGACGCAATGTGTGTGGGTGAGTGGGTGATGAGTGATGTAGTGAGTGTGTGTGTGTGTGATATGAGTGTGTGTGTGTGTGTGACTCTGTGTGTGTGTGTGAGTGTGTGGTGCGTGGTGTGTAAGTGAAATGCTGTGAGAGTGAGTGAGTGTGATTATGTGAGAGTGAGTGTGTGTGAGTGATGAGTGAGTGATGTGTGTGTGAGTGGGAGGACGGGCGGATGAGTAGGAGGACGGGAGGAGGATTAGGAAGCGGACGGCGTACATCTCTTGGCGGTGCACATTGTCCAACGCCTGCCACGCAAAAGCGGTTGTCCCACGCCTGCCACACAAAGAGACGGAGCCCCAAGGGACGCCAGGGCGTACATCCGACCCCTTGGCAGCGCAGATTGTCCCACGCCTGCCACACAAAAGAGGCGGAGCCCCAAGGGACGCCAGGGCGTACATCCGACCCCTTGGCAGCGCACATTGTCCCACGCCTGCCACGGAAAAGCGGCGGAGCCCCAAAGGACGCCAGGGCGTACATCCGACCCCTTGGCAGTGCACATTTTTCCACGCCTGCCACGGAAAAGCGGCGGAACGACGCCTGCCACGCAAAAGCGGCGGAGCCCCAAGGGACGCCAGGGCGTACATCCGACCCCTTGGCAGTGCACATTGTCCCACGCCTGCCACGCAAAAGAGGCGGAGCCGCAAGGGACGCCAGGGCGTACATCCGACCCCTTTGCAGTGCACATTGTCCCACGCCTGCCACGGAAAAGCGGCGGAACGACGCCTGCCACGCAAAAGCGGCGGAGCCCCAAAAAAAACGCCAGGGCGTACATCCGACCCCTGGGCAGCGCACATTGTCCCACGCCTGCCATGCAAAAGCGGCGGAGCCCCAAGGGACGCGAGGGCGTACATCCGACCCCTTGGCAGCACACATTGTCCCACGCCTGCCACGCAAAAGAGGCGGAGCCCCAAGGGACGCCAGGGCGTACATCCGACCCCTTGGCAGTGCACATTGTCCCACGCCTGCGACGCAAAAGCGGCGGAGCTTTAAGGGACGCCCCTTGGCAGCACGCCTGCCACGCAAAAGCGGCGGTGAGTGAGTGAATGAGTGAGGGAGGGAGGGAGGGAGTGAGTGAGTGAGTGACTCTGAGTGAGTGACTCTGAGTGAGTGACTCTGAGTGAGTGACTCTGCAAGTGAGTGAGTGACTCTGCAAGTGAGTGAGTCTGAGTGAGTGAGTGAGTGAGTCTGAGTGAGTGAGTCTGAGTGAGTCTGAGTGAGTGAGTGAGTGAATGAGTGAGTGAGTGAGTGAGTCTGAGTGAGTCTGAGTGAGTCTGAGTGAGTGAGGTGAGTGAGGTGGGTGAGGTGAGTGAGGTGAGTGAGGTGAGGGAGGTGAGGTGAGGTGAGGTGAGGTGAGGTGAGGTGAGGTGAGGTGAGGTGAGGTGAGGTGAGGGAGTGAGTGAGTGAGTGATTGAGTGAGTGAGGAGGACAGAGTGAGTGAGTGAGTGAGTGAGTGAGTGGAGTGAGTGAGTGAGTGAGTGGAGTGAGTGAGTGAGTGAGTGAGTGAGTGAGTGTGTGAGTGTGAGTGTGAGTGTGAGCGTGAGCGTGAGTGTGAGTGTGAGTGAGAGTGTGAAGTGTGAGTGTGAGTGTGAGTGTGAGTGTGAGTGTGAGTGTGAGTGTGAGTGTGAGTGAGTGGGTAAGTGAGTGAGTGAGTGAGTGAGGAGTGAGTGAGGAGGACGGGAAGGAGGAGGAAGGAGGAGGAGGCGCGGATACAGAACTAAAAACAAAAACCCCACACGTCAATGTGGGGAAAAAGGCCAAATGGCGTAGAATTTTAAACATCACATGTTTGGCCAGGAGTCATGTCAGCAGGGAGACAGACATGAGTTGGATATAGCAACCATAATCAGCAAGGTGTCTTGGGATCAAAGAAACCCAGTTGGTCGATTGTTATCGGAAGAACCCCCATGAACCCAATAAAGAAATTACACCGGCATAGACCCCAGATAGAAAAAGGTTGGAACTGATGGTTCCCAACGTGGGAACCAAAGGTTACCATGGCAAGGAACTGCCGGTTCCCAGACCTTGAAACTTAGGGTTCCCAACCTGGGAACCAGAGGTTACCATTGCAAGGAATTGCCGGTTCCCAGAAGTTAGAATTTATGTTTTCGAAGCTAAGCAACTATCATTGTAAGGAACTGCGGATTCCCAAAGTTTGAAACTCATGGTTCCAAACCTGAAAAAGCATACGTTACCAGTGGAAGGATCTGTTGATTGCAAAAAGTTAGAACTCATGGTTCTTAATGTTGTTTTGTTTTGTTTACTGAGCCGGTAACAGAACCTTTTGTTTTGCTTAATGGACCGGTAGCGGAATGTTTGCGTTCGGCTGCTGGGCCGGCATAAAAATGTTTTTGCACGAAAAAGGTGCATGTCAAAATGATATGAAAACAGTTTCTTTACAATTTTATGGTTTTGCTTAATGGACCGGTACAGAACGCTTTGTTTTGCTTAATGGACCGGTACCGGAATGTTTGCGTTTGGTTCATGGCAAGGAACTGCCGGTTCCCAAAGGTTGGAACTCACGGTTGCCAACGTGGGAACCACAGGTTACCATTTCAAGGAACTGCCGGTTCCCAGAGGTTGGAACTCCTGGTTCCCAACCTGGGAACCATGGGTTACCATTGCAAGCAACTGCCGGTTCCCAGAAGTTAGAATTTATGTTTTCGAAGCTAAGCGGCTATCATTGTAAGGAACTGCGGGTTCCCAAAGCTTGAAACTCATGGTTCCAAGCCTGAAAAAGTAACGTTACCAGTGGAAGGATCTGTTGATTGCAAAAAGTTAGAACTCATGGTTCTTAATGTTGTTTTGTTTTGTTTACTGAGCCGGTAACAGAACCTTTTGTTTTGCTTAATGGACCGGTTTGGCTGTTGGGCCGGCATAAATTTTTTTTTTTGCACGAAAAAGGTGCATGTCAAAATAATATGAAAACAGTTTCTTTACAATTTTATGGTTTTGCTTAATGGACCGGTACAGAACGCTTTGTTTTGCTTAATGGACCGGTACCGGAATGTTTGCGTTTGGTTCATGGCAAGGAACTGCCGGTTCCCAAAGGTTGGAACTCACGGTTCCCAACGTGGGAACCACAGGTTACCATTGCAAGGAACTGCCGGTTCCCAGAGGTTGGGACTCCTGGTTCCCAACCTGGGAACCATGAGTTACCATTGCAAGCAACTGCCGGTTACCAGAGGTTGGAACTCATGCTTCCCAACCTGGGAACCATAGGTTGCCATTGCAAAGAACTTCCGGTTCCGAAAGGTTGGAACTGACGGTTCCCAACGTGGGAACCAAAGGTTACCATGGCAAGGATGTTTGCGTTTGGTTCATGGCAAGGAACTGCCGGTTCCCAAAGGTTGGAACTCACTGTTGCCAACGTGGGAACCACAGGTTACCATTGCAAGCAACCGCCGGTTCCCAGAGGTTGGAACTCCTGGTTCCCAACCCTGGAACCATGGGTTACCATTGCAAGCAACTGCCGGTTACCAGAGGTTGGAACTCATACTTCCCAACCTGGGAACCATAGGTTACCATTGCAAAGAACTTCCGTTTCCTAAAGGTTGGAACTGATGGTTCCCAACGTGGGAACCAAAGGTTACCATGGCAAGGAACTGCCGGTTCCCAGACCTTGATACTTACGGTTCCCAACCTGGGAACCAGAGGTTACCATTGCAAGGAATTGCCGGTTCCCAGAGGTTAGAACTTATGTTTTCGAAGCTAAGCAACTATCATTGTAAGGAATTGCCGCTTGCGAAAGCTTGAAACTGACGGTTCCAAACCTGAAAAAGCATACGTTACCAGTGGAAGGATCTGTTGATTGCAAAAAGTTAGAACTCATGGTTCTTAATGTTGTTTTGTTTTGTTTACTGAGCCGGTAACAGAACCTTTTGTTTTGCTTAATGGACCGGTAGCGGAATGTTTGCGTTTGGCTGTTGGGCCGGCATAAAAATGTTTTTGCACGAAAAAGGTGCATGTCAAAATGATATGAAAACAGTTTCTTTACAATTTTATGGTTTTGCTTAATGGACCGGTAAAGAACGCTTTGTTTTGCTTAATGGGCCGGTACCAGAATGTTTGCGTTTGGTTCATGGCAAGGAACTGCCGGTTCCCAAAGGTTGGAACTCACTGTTGCCAACGTGGGAACCACAGGTTACCATTGCAAGGAACTGCCGGTTCCCAGAGGTTGGAACTCCTGGTTCCCAACCTGGGAACCCTGGGTTACCATTGCAAGCAACTGCCGGTTCCCTGAGGTTGAAACTCATGCTTCCCAACCTGGGAACCATAGGTTACCATTGCAAAAGAACTTCCGTTTCCTCAAGGTTGGAACTGATGGTTCCCAACGTGGGAACCAAAGGTTACCATGGCAAGGAACTGCCGGTTCCCAGACCTTGAAACTTACGGTTCCCAACCTGGGAACCAGAGGTTACCATTGCAAGGAATTGCCGGTTCCCAGAAGTTAGAATTTATGTTTTCGAAGCTAAGCAACTATCATTGAAAGGAGCTGCGGATTCCCAAAGTTTGAAATTCATGGTTCCAAGCCTGAAAAAGCATACGTTACCAGTGGAAGGATCTGTTGATTCCCAAAAAGTTAGAACTCATGGTTCTTAATGTTGTTTTTTTGTTTACTGAGCCGGTAACAGAACCTTTTGTTTTTCTTAATGGACCGGTAGCGGAATGTTTGCGTTTGGCTGTTGGGCCGGCACATAATTTTTTTGCACGAAAAAGGTGCATGTTAAAATGATATGAAAACAGTTTCTTTACAATTTTATGGCTTTGCTTAATGGACCGGTAAGGAACGCGTTGTTTTGCTTAATGGACCGGTACCGGAATGTTTGCGTTTGGTTCATGGCAAGGAACTGCCGGTTCCCAAAGGTTGGAACTCACTGTTGCCAACGTGGGAACCACAGGTTACCATTGCAAGGAACTGCCGGTTACCAGAGTCGGTTGGAACTCCTGGTTCCCAACCTGGGAAGCATGGGTTACCATTGCAAGCAACTGCCGGTTACCAGAGGTTGGAACTCATGCTTCCCAACCTGGGAACCATAGGTTACCATTGCAAAGAACTTCCAGTTCCTAAAGGTTGGAACTGATGGTTCCCAACGTGGGAACCAAAGCACAGCACGCTGCACAGCACGCTGCACAGCACCCTGCACAGCACCCTGCACAGCACCCTGCACAGCAACCTGCACAGCACCCTGCACAGCACCTTGCACAGCACCCTGCACAGCACCTTTGCCAGACTTCGCCACTGCAGTCTGAACAGCACTTTGCACAGCACCCTGCACAGCACCTTTGCCAGACTTCGCCACCGCAGTCTGGACAGCACCCTGCACAGCACCCTGCACAGCACCCTGCGGAGCACCCTGCACAGCACCCTGCACAGCACCTTTGCCAGACTTCGCCACCGCAGTCTGGACAACACCCTGCACAGCACCCTGCACAGCACCCTGCACAGCACCTTTTCCAGACTTCGCCACCGCAGTCTGGACAGCACGCAGGCTCAAAAGTTCGCCACCGAAGACCCCACCTTTGAGAAGTAAGAACCCCTATAGCTTGCCAGCTATCTGGGGAAAAACATACTATAAGGAATGTTCCCAATAGGTTTAAGTGACAAACCTAGCTATCACCATCCCCATCGCCATTGCCATCACCATCACCATCACCACCATCATCATCTTCATCATCATCAGTATCATCATGATTGCATTGTTTTTTCGATGTTATTGTTGTTATTAGTATTGTTTTTGTGATGATTATTACTATTGTTAGCTGTTATTTTTCCATTATCATTATAATTATTATCATTATTACCACTGTTGTCATTGTATGATTGTCATTATTGCTTTGATATCATCAGGGACTATCCGATTTCTCTAGAGATGACACTGAGGTGTCTCCAGGATTGCTGATGATGGGCATCGTGCATACCCTGGGTGGATTTCTGGCATCCAATGGGGCCATAGAGACCAGCTGCGTGGCTGAGCCTTGGTGGCAGCTCCGGATGCTGTGGAGTGACCCGAACTCATGGGGAGACAATGTTAGATAGAATGCCAGACAGATAGAATGGAAGATATAGATGTGAGAGACTGTCAGGATAGATGTCAGAAAGGATGTCAGATAGAAAGTCGGAGTATGTGATGCCGGGAAATAATGTCAGATAGACTGTCAGAATATAAATGCCATACATACTTCCGGATGGTATGTCAGAAACTATGTCAGAATAGTGTGTCAGGTGATGATCATTCGAAGATATTCGAAGTAAAGTAATTTCTTTTTGCAAAAGAAGGGTGCAAACTCACATGCCTGGCACTGATTGACGTTTGCAGAACAGGTGTGAAGGACGTCTTGTCTGGCTCTCAGCCAAGAATTCCTTCCAACTTCCAAGGATGCAACCCCTGCGGGCCCAAAACGCGCGGTGGCGGTTGGCCGGTTCTTAACAGAACCCCGGCATACAGGGCAAGGGATGAAAAGTGGAGAGAGGTGGGATAGATACTGATAGATGTCATATTGGGAGGGATGAACGTCCACTTCTTTGTATAACAGCCAGGGTGCCAGGATTCCAGAATTTTGATTCATGGCAGGGCAGCACTTTCGAACCCGAACATACTCCTGTTGATTGGAGCGCTGGAACCCGTTGAAACTGAGCCGAAATATGAGGTGGTTGGGGCTGCTCTAGTCCTTGGACCTTTTTTGGGAGGCATTCTGTTGGAGAATTTTGGTGGGCGCTCACCCTTTGCGTTTGCAGCAGTGCTTGGCTTCATTGCGTTGCTGGCAATGACTGGCTTCGTTCCTGCGCCCTGGCCGCGGATCGAATTTGGGTGGGATTCAGATTCGGATGCTCAGGAGATCTCAGGACACTCTCCGGCAATTTAACATAGCTATGGCTATGGAATGCTATGGAACATATCCATAAAGACTACTAATACTGAAGGTTAATAGGTCATTCATCGAACGAACTGGGTCATGGTCCATATCTTAAAGCAGCAACCCATCCCTTGAGTCGTTGCATGATTTTCTCTGAGGAGTACCTTCCGCCCTCGCGACGTTCCCAGAGCAGCAGTACCACAAAAGCTCCGGTGCTGGCAGCCTTTCAGCTGTTGGTGCAGAATCCTGCATTGCGGTGGTACACAGCAGCATCAGGCGCCAACCATGCGAAATCTTGATGGCATGGCCTTAAGTTGATGGGTTGGATCATGAATACGAATGTACTACGTGTTTGGGGCTTGGAGCACATCCGGATGATGGTTGGAGATGACGAAAAAAAAGGCACACTGCATCCAGGCTTGACGCAGATGTTTTCTAACACGCGACTCATTTCCTTCAGGTCTCTTCAGTTTAGGCATGGCGGTTTATGGCACAGTGAACGTCTTGTGGCTGAAGGAGGCTCGGTGCTCAGTGCTTTGATCTCAGCTGAGAGTCAGGTCAGAAGTGGTAGCAGCTGAAGCTGTTTTCGCCTGGCGGGTGCTTTGAATTTTATCCAGGACTTCTGCATAAATTGTGATGCGTTCTACACACACATAATCACATACAGATACACACACACACATATACAGATACACACACACATATATATATATGTATACATACATACATACATGCATGCATGCATGCATACATGCATACATACATACAGACAGACAGACATACAGACATACAGACATACAGACAGACATACAGATATACAGACGTACAGACATACAGACATAAATACATACATACATACACACATACACACATACCGACAGACAGACATACAGACATACAGACAGAAATACAGACATACAGACATAAATGCAGCCATACAAACATACAGGCATACAGACCTACAGACATACAGACAGACAGACATACAGACAGACATACAGACATAAAAGACATACAGAAATACAGACAGACAGACAGAAAGACAGACAGACAGACATACATACATACATACATACATACACACATACACACATATATACACACATACACACATACACACACACATACACACACACACATACACGCACATACGCACACACATACACACACATACACCCATACACGCATACACATACACACATACACATACACATACACATACATATACATACATATACATGACATACATATACATACATATACATACATATACTTACATATACTTACATATACATACATTTACATACATATACATACATACGCATACATACATATACATACATATACATACATATACATACATATACATACATATACATACATATAACATACATATACATACATATACATACATACATGCATACATACATACCTACATACATACCTACGTACATACGTACATACGTACATACGTACATACGTACATACGTACATACGTACATACGTACATACGTACATACATACATACATACAGACATACGTACGTACGTACGTACGTACATACGTACATACGTACATACGTACATACGTACGTACGTACGTATGTACGTACAGACGACAGACAGACAGACAGACATACAGACAGACAGACTTACAGACATAAATACAGACATACAGACAGACAGACATACATGCATAAATACAGACATACGGACAGACAGACATACAGACAGACGGACATACAGACATACAGACATAAAGACATACAGACATATAGGCATACAGACATACAGACAGACAGACATACAGACAGACAGAGATACAGACATAAATGCAGACATACAGACATACAGACATAAATACATACATACATACATACACATACATACATACATACATACATACACATACAGACATACATACATACAGACATACATACATACATACAGACATACATACATACATACATACATACACACACACATACAGACAGACAGACATACAGACATACAGACACAAAGAAATACAGACATACAGACATACAGACATACAAACATACAGGCATACAGACATACAGACAGACAGGCAGACATACAGACAGACATACAGACATACAGACATACAGAAATACAGACATACAGACAGACAGACAGACAAACAGACATACAGACATACATACATATTTTTTTTACACATAATGCAATGCAATGTAACGTAATGTAATGCAATTCAATGTAATGCAATGCAATGCGATGTATTGTACTGGTCTGTACTGTAATCTAGTGTGTGCATGCATGTTTTTATTTTTGTTGCAATGCGACACAAAGCTATGGGACGGGACAGTTTTGTAATTTATGTTTGCATTGCATTGCATTGCGTTGCGTTGCATTGCGTTGCGTTGTATTGTGTTGTGCTGTATTGTATAGTAACTCAACTGCAATTTAATTCTATTTATTTTTTATTGTCATTGTACAGTATTGTAATTGTACTGGTGCTGGTATTGGGTATGGGATTGGGGTTGGGATTGGCGTTGCATCGCGCCGGATTCCAGTGCAATGCAATGGAATGTCATGCTTTTGACAGGTCTTGTATGCACACACATACCGAATGTGCTATTCTGCGATGGGTTTTCCACCACCAAACGGTTGCTCTCCAGGCTTTTGGATGGAATGGTCAGGATGTGGGCCATTTCCTCTCTGCTGTTGGGGCGGCTGTGATCATCTCACAGGCATGGTCCATAGTTAACACTCTGAGCAAAGGTCCCAGAAGTGGAGGGAAAAGTTGCTGCCAAACTCCTTTATTTGGGAGGGTATGTGCCATATATTCATTGCACATGAAAGTGAGGTTGCCGACTATTTTTTGTTTGGGCATTGCGTGTGATGCCCGTTTGCACTTGTCAGGTTGTTTTTCTACCAGTGCTTCTGCGAATAGCCAAGGGGCGAGAACCCTGGGTGGTGCAAGGAGCCATTGTGCTTCATGCCATCAAATTTGTTGGCTATGCATGGGCCCCTCGTGGGCCTTGGGCATATGTAGTTCTTGCCATTAGTTCACCCACCTTTTGCGCCGCTCCAATCCTTTCAAGTGTCCTAGCCGCAGTCAAGGTGGGAACCCCAGTTTACTAATAGGGGGTGGCCAAGTTTGATAGTTACCTATCAGTAATCAGTACTTTCCAGTAACTTCCCAATGAATAGTCAGGGTTTAGTTTAGTCTCATCCGGGTTGACATCACCCTTCTGCCCTGCTATCTTGAAATCTCTGGTGTTCCTTGGCCGAAGATGAATCCAAACCTTGATGCAGAGGGGCCACTCCCAAAGGGCCACTTCATTCCGTAGGCTGCATCAGTGTAGTGCTGGACTGGCGAGCAAATAGCTGGGTGTAGCACTGATCGACGTTTGGTTTATCGAGGATGTTGGTATTTTGCAGATGTTGGTGAATTGGTTGGTGCTTCCGTTTTGTTAAATCGTTTTCCAGCCGTTGTTGTGATGATGAGTCCCAACTCACCAAAATTAAACGGGCTGCCGCCTCCTGCCGCCGACCCCGGGTCACATGGGCGAAGCGTTTCATGTGGGGACCTGTGTCCTTGGATCATATGTATACTGTATACTTACCAGGACTCATGTCCTTGGATCATATGTATACTTACCAGGACTTATGTCCTTGGATTATATGTAAACTTACCAAGACTAATGTCTTTGGATCATATGTATACTTACCAGGACTTCCAAGGATAATATGTATACTTATCAGGACTTATGTCATCGGAATGTATACCTACCAGAAGCAACAGAAGACTGGCAAACACAGAGAAGAAACAACATGGAAACGTAGATAGGTAGATAAGCAGATAGGTAAAAATGTGAGTAGACAGTTGCTGGATACAGAATTGGATGAGAGCTGGATAGCTTGACTCTAGGTAGATAGACTGATGAGAGCTACATTAAATAAATATATAAAGGGAGAGTAGTAAGATTCATGAATGATCTGTCAGCTAGATAGACAGACAGACAGACAGAGATAGACAGACAGACAGACAGACAGACCGACCGACCGACAGACAGACAGACAGATAGAGAGATAGAGAGATAGAGAGATGGAGAGATAGAGAGACAGAGAGAGAGAGAGAGAGACCGATAGATAGATAGATAGATAGATAGGTAGGTAGGTAGGTAGGTAGCTAGATAGAAAGATACCCTGAGTCTTCGGAAGTAGTAAATTTAGGTAGAGCGAAATTTACGTAAATCGGAGCTATTTAGGTAAACACATGCCAATGTATTTAAATTTTGATTGCGATCCCCAAAAAAAACTAATCGACCTAAATAAATTTAGAAAATCGACCCAAATTTTTGGATGTTGTTTTTTATTTTAGATTGTTTTAGTTTTGTCAGTTTTTTGCATGTGGTATTTTTACAGAATCACCAAATATTATGCAAGTATGCAACACGTGCACATCGTTGGCGTTGGTTTGTCGTGTTGCGCGGCGCGCAAACCAACGCTTGGCACCACTGAGAGAACGCGAGATGCACCAGCGACGAACAGCAATCCTAGACGATGTTAGGGCCGAAATTCATACAATGACGGCGCAAAGGGCAAAGAACAAGTCAGCCACGGCCGAACCATTGCAAGAGTCCGAACAGGGTGCAGCGTGCCCACCCGCAATCAGTCCCAAAACAAGTGCAAGGCCTGTCTATGAACACACATGTCCATTTTGCAACGACACTGCACGCAGCACCGTGCTAAGTGTGCCCGTCGATCACCGTTCTGCCTGTAGACACCAATTTTGCGTGCATGCTGGATCTAGATTTTCTAGCCGTGCCTACGAACATGCATGCTGTACTTGTGGCACCATCGCGCGCCGCAGGACGAATTCAAATAAAGCACAAGACCCAGCAGGCAAAACATGTCGCCGAAAAAGCTGGCAATCATTAGTCAGCCTTGTCGCCTGCGCCACGCAAAGTGAGTCCAAACTGCAGCCGCCCGGTGCCTAAAGTTGGCTTCGCCACACCGAAACACTATGGTCGTGAAGAAACACACGGTTTCGGCCTGCGGCTACAAGTGCTCAACTTTGCTTCCCGAACAGAAAAACCTAGCTCCAAATTGCAGCTTTCAAACCTCCAAAACGTCCTCTTCCCCACACCAAAACCCCATGCCACTGAAGGGACGGACAGGCCTTCGGCGTGCGGCTGCCTCTGCCTAACGTCGCTTTCTGAACCGACAAGAAACGAGCTCCAAATTGCAGCCTTCAAGCCTCCAAACCGTTGGCTTCGCCACAGCGAAACACCATGCCACGGAGGGACGCACCAGGCCTTCGGCCTGTGGCTGCCTCTGCCTAACATCGCTTTCTCAACCGGTAAGAAACCAGCTCCAAATTGCAGCTTTCAACCTTCGAAAACTGGTTGGTGGTTTCAAATGGGCCATTGACTAATATTTTTCAAGATGGTTAAAGCCACCAACCAAAAAAAGTTGCCTTCGCCCGAAACACCATGCCACGGAGGGACACACCAGGCCTTCGGCCTGTGGCTGCCTCTGCCTATAACGTCGCTTTCTGAACCGACAAGATGCCAGCTCCAAATTGCAGCCTTCAAGCCTCCAAACCGTTGGCTTTGCCACACCCAAACACGAAGCCACTAGGAGGACCCAGGCTTCAGCCTGCGGCTGCCTCTGCCTAACGTCGCTTTCTGAACCGACAAGAAACTAGCTCCAAATTGCACGAAGCCAGTGAGGACCCAGCCTTCAGCCTGCGGCTGCCTCTGCCTAACGTCGCTTTCTGAACCGACAAAAAATTAGTTCCAAATTGTAGTTGGCCACAGGATTTTGCAGTTTGCTCGCGTCATGTCTTGCCCCTGGCTGATTGTAATGTCTTCTCTGATGCGCTCGCCCTTGCCGTCGGCGGGGGCGGCGGATTTCTGGGATGAGGTGAGGCCGAAACCACAGCAATGAATAGTCAGGTTGGATTTCGTCTGCATCTCTCAGGCCTGTGCACTAGGCACGTGCCGTCAACGCAGCAAGGGCTCTGGTCTGGCAGTGCTTCTGCGCTGTCCACAGCAGCCAATGTCGTGGGCGGGGCGCCTAAAACCATGGGGCATTGGTCCACGTTGCTATTGGGCATCTGGCGTGGATGTTGTGATGGGCACATTGGGCACCTAAAACCACCAAACATCCATAGGTTCCATAGAGTGTTGCCGCACCCGCCGCCCTTTTGGGGCCAGTGAACTGCAGCTATGCGCGTTCATGGGGGTCAAAGAGGCCCTCTCCCCCAAACATGGATGAACATTTTACAACAGACACCCCTAGATTTTCGCTTTGCGAAAATCATGGTATTGCCCATAGTTAGTTATAAACCATCAAGTATGCCCACGATATCCCATTAAATCACCAGTTAGTTATACATAATCAGTTATATACTTAGTTATGAACCATTAAATCACACTTTTCGATGGGATGCGGTCCATCTATTGTTGGCTTCATCGCAAGCACCTCGGCCAAGGAGCCTTGATCGGCTCCCGGCTTCTTGCGATAGCACTTGAGGGGCAACTTGGCAAAGCAGCGAGGCGAAGTGTGGCTGCTCCAAGGCCCCCGGAAATCCGTTGATTAATGCTGATAAACGCTACATGCTGGGCAGTCTTGCAGCACACTTGGTGGCAGCTTGAAGCTTTTCGGATGGATTTTCCCTGACGCGTGGAGAAAGTCTCGCAGCGTTTGTCTGAAAATGGAGGACTGCTGGGTAGATACCCTATTTTCGGGCAGAGCCAAATCTCAGGAAATCCAACATGATTATGGATGATTCGCTTTGGAGAATCTGGCCGAGGCATTTGCCCCTGGGATCTCCTCTCTATGCTGGGACAGTGCCAGGGGCTGAGAACCGATGGTTGATGATGTCCATGGCATTGTGATGCATTGCGGATCCCACACGCTTGTTGTTTCTAATTATGCATTTCAAGATCTATATCTATATCTATTTCTACTAGTCTACATTTATTTTTTCATATCTACATATATTGTATATATATATTGGAGTGACCCCCCCCACTAACAGTGGAATAATAGATTTTAATTGTAACTTCCCTGCCAAAATTGCACAACAACCCAGGGACCAAAACCACAAACAATTTGAGAGGCCCAATCAATCTTCTCAATCCAAATTTTTCTGATGTTGAACCGAAGTATGAAATCACTCTGGGGGCAGCCTACTTGGAACCAGATCAAACCTACTTGCAGAGATTTTGTTGGATAAAATCCCTTTTGGGCAAAGGGAAAGGCAGCAGTGCAGGGACGAGTTTGCTAAGGGACAAATTTTGCTCAGGGACAAATTTTGCTCAGTGACAAGTTTTGCTAAGGGACAAATTTTGCTAAGGGACAAGTTTTGCTAAGGGACAAGGGACAAATTTTGACAAGTTTTGCTAAGGGACAAATTTTGCAAATTTTGCTAAAGGGAAATTTTGCTAAGGGACAAGTTTTTCAGTGACAAGTTTTGCTAAGAGGCAAATTTTGCTAAGGGGCAAGTTTTGCTAAGGGACAAATTTTGCTAAAGGGAAAATTTTGCTAAGGGACAATTTTTTCAGTGACAAGTTTTGCTAAGAGACAAATTTTGCTAAGGGACAAGTTTAGCTAAGGGACAAATTT